TATGGAGACACCTGGAGACTCATGGAAACAGCTGGAGACTCATTGAAACAGCTGGAGACTCATGAAACATCTGGAGACTCATGAAAACACCTGGAGACTCATTGAAACAGCTGGAGACTCATGGAGACACCTGGAGACTCATGGAAACACCTGGAGACTCATGAGACACCTGGAGACACAGTGAAACACTGGAGACACATGGAGACAGAACCCAGGTCCTGACCTGGATAAAGGGGATAAAAATGTGAAATCAGACCCTCCCGGCCGACTGGGAGGGTCACTGACCAGTCCTCCCAGTCGCCCGGTCAGTGACCCAGATGTCTCTTGAAGCTGACAGAGCTGCAGTTTGTGGTTCTGACCAGCAGAGGGGGCTCTGTACAACTCTAACTAATTAGTTGTTGTGGTGCCTTCAGGGACTGCAGGAGAAAATGGTCTGACATAAACCTCAATCTGATTGGCTTAAAATTTAATTACAGTTAACAAAAGAAGAAATCATTAATTAATTATTTAAATGAGCAGCTTGATTTAGAAATTAAGTTATGATTCTGTTGAAACAGATTTTTCCCACAGTCCCTGAATGTGACGCCTTCAGGAACGCACACAGCAGTGGGATTTCACAGGACCAGAACCGTGTTGGGATGGGTCGAGCAGCAGAACCGTCTCCAGGGTTTCCTGGACCCGACTCGTCTCTCTCTCTCCATTCCTGCTTCCCATTCCTACCGTGTCCGGTTGCCATGGATACGCGGCGAAATGAGGCCCCTTGATGAACCACAGACTCAGACTGACGTCAGACCAGCTTATGGAGACAGACCTGGTGACTGAGCAGGGGTTTCTGGTGGCCGTGGTAACCTCAGTCGCCCTGTCTGTGTGTAGGGGGGTTGAAGCCCACCACCTCCCGCTGCACCTGTCACCATGGCTCAGGTGAAACAAGACCCAGTTTCATCTCTCTATCAGTGGAAAGAATTTAGTTATTCAGCCTCAAAGAACTAAATCAAAGTTTATATTTTCAGTCATATTTTCACCAAGTTCATGGATTTAGTTTTAAGCTAATTCTCTTCAGACTAAATATTTGGTTAACTCTCGACCGAAATGAAATATTTAGATTCAAGCTGATCAGCTATTTAAAAAAATACTTAAATGATAACGATATAAAGCAAAAGTTGTTGACGGTTCCGTCTGCAGATCCATCTGCTTTATTATGGACTCACACTGATCAACCCTGAACATCAAGAGCTTCAAAGCACCAAACGGATCTGCAACCCGGACAGAAGAAGTTCTGGACAGTCTCTGTGGATCCGTTCGGTCTTTCACTGAAACGTCTGATGAAGGAAGCACCGTTTCTCTCGAGTTTAGACCGTCAGTTTCCTGCCAGCATGTGTCTGCAGGTCTACAGATGTTCATGGTGACTGATGAAAGACCATTGACCTTTAACCCACATGATTCATCATCTGACATCTAAACCTGCTCCAGGTTCTAAAGAAGCCGTTGGGTTCGCCTCAGGTTGGACCTCGGGGGTCCATCAGGACAGCAGAGTTCTCTGTCTGTGAGGCCTGCGAGGAGTCCATGAGTCTGACCCGTCCAGTCCTGGAGGAGAACCTGAAGCTGAAGGCCTTCATCAGGTCGTCCCTGTAGCTTCTGTGCCAGAGGTTGTAGAGGACGGGGTTGACGCAGCAGTGCACCAACGAGAAGCACTGCGTCAGGTGCAGCGCCACATCCAGGAAGCTCTCCATCCGGCAGGTGAAGGGCAGGACGTTCATCAGCGTCAGAGTGTCCAGCAACAGGACGGCGTGGAACGGCAGCCAACACACCAGAAACACCAGGATGTAGGAGAGGACGATCCGCCGGCTGACCCGGCGCTCCGGGTCCGAGCTGGGAGGGACGGCGGCGACCAGGAGCAGGTAGGAGACGGCGATGATGGGGAAGGGGACGGCGAAGCCGAGCACCAAGAAGCTGAGCTGGACGCCCACCATCCAGTCCCGGCGGTTCTCCAGCGGGTACACGGATCGACACACGGCGCCGTCGCGGTGGGGGGACCGGGCAGCCCGCAGGAAGTAGGTATCGGGAACGACGGACGCCGCCAACGCCAGCAGCCAGAGCGACGCGCAGATCAGCCGCCGCAGCGTCTTCCTCCTCCAGCTGAGGGCGCCAGAGAGCAGCGTGGCGGACAGGTAGCTGTCGACGCTCATACAGGCGAGGAAGAAGATGCTGCTGAACAGGTTGAGGCTGAACACCAGATGGGGTGACCTTACAGACGACCTCTCCGAACGGCCACAGTCCGCCCTGCAGCAGAGACGTGACCCAGACGGGCAGGGTCAGAACCACGCCCAGGTCGGCCACCGCCAGGTTCACCACGTACAGCCGGGACCCGCACCGGGCCCGGTCGGGCCGCAGGTTCACCCAGAACACCAGGATGTTGGAGGCCACGCCCCCCAAAAAGATGAAGATGTAGAGGACGGAGAGGCAGAGGAGGAGCGTGGCGTGGCTGATGGCACCCGAACACACCATGGCCTCCACCCGAGACAGGTTGGAGGTCAAGTTCAGCTCCTCCCACTGGTCCACCAGCTCAGACAGGTCACTGCTGCTCAGGCTCATGGCGGGCCGGATCCGGCTGCAAGACACAAAGAGGCCCGTCAGAACCAGAACCAGAACCTGGACCAGAACCAGAACCAGAACCAGAACCTGGAACAGAACCAGAACCAGAACCTGGAAACAGAACCAGAACCAGAACCTTGGACTCAATCACGTCCTGTCTCTGGTTCTGCTGGTTTCTGACAAACATATCCAGTCTGGATCATTGTCATGCTCTCCACCAATGTTGGACCGGAACCCTGACCCGGTTCCAGGTTCTTCAGAACCCTGCTACCAGCTTTGGACCCGCTGGATTCTAGAGTCCATTTCAAGGCTCTGGTTCTGGCTTCGTTTAGGACCAGTGTTGGAGATCAGGTTACCATGGAAAACAGACAGCTGATAAAAGTAATCAATACGTATCAATGATGTGGGTCTGCGTCGGCCCGCGGGCCTCATGTTGACCCTCAGACTGTCCACCGGCTGACCTGAGGATGAGGAGGATGAAGAACAAAAGCTGAGTGTGATGAAGGTCCAAACCCAGCAGGACGCCTCAGGCTGAAGGTCAGGACCTTCACAATAAAAGCTTTATTGCAGCAAATTAGAGGCTGAAAAGAACCGCAGGAATCAGAGGAGAAGAAGAAGAAAAGCCCTGATGGTGGCCCAGGTCAAAGGTCAAAACCATCTAAACAGAGTGGTTCTGTCTCCCCTGGTTCTGGTTCAGCTGGTTCTGTCTGTCTCAGCAGGGTCCAATTCAAAGTTCTAGTGAGGATTAAAAGTTTGGGTCTGAACCAGCATCCTTCTGTAGAGCTTAATGGAGCGGGTTCTGCAGAGGTCCGGGTGGTACCAGCAGTTTGAAGAAATTGGGTCAGGACAACTGGACCTCCAGAACCAGATCAGCTGGTCCCTGAACGCACCACCATAAAGCAGCAGTCAGGGGGCCTAAAGCGCCTTCACTTAGTCACAGATAGAACCAGACTCCGTTCAGAACTCGGTCCATTCAGCTTCTCTGGACCGTCTCTACCTCTTCAGGGCCGTGAAACTGAAAATTTAATCTAATTCACATAAAACCGAACCTCAGCTTTAATTCGGCTCAGATGTTCCGATCCCAGACAGAACCGTGCAGAATCTGTGGGTCTGATCAGAACCGCACAGCTCCTTCAGAACTTCTCATCAGTCCTGCAGGTGTTCCCCTGCAGCAGGTGGCGGCTCGGTTCCGATCCGGCCGAGCGAAGTTAAAAAACAGCGCAGTTTGCGTCAGTTACAGCGGAGGTTCTGTTGGGTACTTACAGATCAGACGGCAGGGTTCGGTTCGGTCCAGAGACGGCTGCAGAGTGAGGAGTCCGGTGCCTCTCAACTTTAGAGGAAGAACCAAGAACCTCCCACAGAGAGAGAGAGAGAGAGAGAGAGAGGAAGAGAGAGAGAGAGAGAGGAAGAGAGAGAGACAGAGAGAGAGGGAGAGGAAGAGAGAGAGAGAGGAGAAGAGAGAGAGAGGGAGAGACAGAGAGACAGAGAGAGAGAGAGAGAGAGAGAGAGAGATGAGAGAGAGAGGGAGAGACAGAGAGAGAGAGAGACAGAGAGAGAGAGAGAGAGAGAGAGAGAGGGAGAGAGAGACAGAGAGAGAGAGGGAAGAGAGAGAGAGAGAGAGAGAGAGAGAGAGAGAAATACATCTGCAGAAATACTGCAGAAAATGACAGCATAATAATAATAATTGGAAAATAATATTTAACAACAAATATATACTTTTGTAAATGTGTCTTTCTCTGTGTTTCATTTGAAAATATTTTGCATTATTTAGCTGTTATATGCATCAACTCTATTATAATAATAAGACGTGTTTAATGGCTAAAACCAAATAAATATGTCAATAAATACAGCAAGTGAATGTCGCTATGGAAACAAAGACAAGGTGAAAAACTGCTACTAATACACCAAAATATATTATTTCTTAATTCACTTATTTATTCTTTGTTCTGTTTTTGTTTATTTTATTTTTTTCCCATTTCTACTCAAAATATCTCCAATCTGAGAAAAGTTAAATAATAATAAAAATAACCCACTCATGTCATTTCCACTGTTTTATCCTAAATGTATCTATTTTAATTTGTGCTGAATATTTTGTTATTTTATTTTTGTTGTTTGTTCTTTTATCGAATTGATTGTTATTTTGTAGATCACCTCTGTTATGGATTCATTAATTAGTGAATTAATTTACATAAATAAAAGTTCTGGTTTCAGAGTGTCGCCCCCTGCTGGAGGTTTTTGTAACTAAGTTAATTTTTTGTCTATAAATTAGAAAGTGAACTGAGTGGCGAGGTAGAAACTTTATTCATCGTTTCAGACAAATCATCAGTAACAGGAGTGAAAAAGCATTTAAATAAATCACAAATAAACTGCTAGTCGTATTTAAAAGAACAGTGTACATTTTCCTATCACACCCTTCAGTAACAGCATAAAGGCTTTTATTTTGTTATAACGGTTTAAAGGCTTTTAATTGGTTAAGACAGTAATGGGCGATGACATCACCGGGCGTCCTCACAGGGTGGTGAAGTGACTCAGTGCTTCCCTCAGCTTGTCTGCTATCTGTCCAATCAGAGAGCACACAGGCGGTGATGTCACAGGTTAGCTCTCCTGTCCTGACCCCTGACTGACCCCAGCTCACCTGTTGGTAGAAGGCCACCTGCTGCTCCAGGTAGAACTGCAGCACGCGGTTGTAATCATAGATCCTGTTGCTATGGAAATGGTTCATCTCAGCTGCAGGAAACAGGAAGTGACATGTTTGGTTGTGAGCGCGCTCAGTGGGCGGTTCTGATGGCGGTCCGGTTACCCTGCAGGGCGTAGCTCATGCTGCTGACGCGCTGGGTCATCAGCTTCCTGTCGCTGCTGCTGATCCTTCCTGTGGAGACCAGACGCTCCGCCTCCTTCACCTTGTCCACTGCAGCCTGCACACAGGTGAGGCCACGCCCATTAGGCCCCGCCCACTTCCTGGTTCACACACATTTACACCAAATAACCTGGAAACTCCAAAATAAAAGCCTTAATAAATGGGAAGGAGAAACAGAAGACTGTGCTGAACTAATCAGAACCATCAGAACCATCAGAACCAATCAGAACCATCAGAACCAAGGTGTGTAGGAGAACCTTGTGAACGGCGATGACCTCAGGGAAGCATCCCAGCAGACCTTTATATTCACTGTTGGTCTCCAACAGAAAGTGCAGATCCTTCTGAGGCTGAAAACACAACAGGATATTAATAAGTGTTTTACCTGCTTAGTGTGTGTGTGTGTGTGTGTGTGTGTGTGTGTGTGGTGTGTGTGTGTGTGTTGTGTGTGTGTGTGTGTGTGTGTGGTGTGTGTGTGTGTTACCTGCTGGGCGACGATCTGAGCAATCTCCTCATACGTTTTCCCAGCTGCTGTCAAAGCGTTCGTCAGCGTTTCCTCTCCTACAGCACAAACATTTCTCAAACTCAGATGTCCCAGTGTCCCTGAAGGCACCACGGTGTCCCATCTCCACCTGAGCTTGACCTCACCTGGATACTTGCTGGTGTTGAAAACGTTGGACAGGATCCCGAAGGCCCGGCCAATCCGCTCGTACTCTTTAGGCAGAGCTGCAGCACAAAAACCAGAGAAGAAGAAAATCAACCAGTAGGAAATGGCGGAGAACATAAAGCCGATTCCATGTTTGTCCCCTGAACCCGGATTGGACCCAGACTGACGTCCAGTGCAGCGTTTCCAGTGTGTCTGTCCGACGGTCAGCAGCTCTCTGACTCCATCGTCCATGGACTTGGTGAACCGACTGTAGAGCTCACACTTCTGTTCCCTGCACAAAAACACTCCATGAAATGTTACCATGATGACCTGCACCTGTGAGGTGAGACAGGTGACTTACACCTGGGCCACGTCGAGCTCTGCAGCTTCAGGCTGAACCAGGCTGAACATCATCGGACCCACCGTCTCGTCTTTCTCCGCCCTCCTCTTGCCAGACTTCCAGTCCTGAAACAGAAAACCAATCAGCACCTGAAGCCAGATCTCACCTGCAGGGGGCGGAGCCTGACCCACCGCTCGTCCTTGTAGGTGAGGAAGAGCTGGAAGACGTCGCTCTGGGAGACCACCGGGTGGCGACACATCCTGGTCATCCAGGCCTGCAGGCGCTCCATCCTGATCCTGATGAAATCTTCATCAAACCGACCTGAGAGACCCGGCGACACTCAGACAGGCTCCACAGGTAAAACGGAGCAGGTGGCTATGGCGACTCCTCACCTGTCACCTGTTTGTCAGGAAGGGAGGGGATTGGCAGCAAGGATCCAAACTTCTCCAGGAGACGCTCGTACAGCAATCAAAATGCTTAGCGATGATTCACAGTTCTGCTGGTGGTCTGCAGGGGCGCACTGTGGTGAGGACTACTACACAGTACTACACAGTACTACACAGTACTACACAGTACTACATAGTACTACTGTTTACTATACTGTTCACCTCTACAGATGAAGTCTGTGTTGTTTATAGCTGAATTCATCAGAAAGTACCTTCACTACAAACTACTATAGTGCAACACAAAGTACTACATAGTACTACAAGTACTATGTAGTACCATGTCTACATACAGACAGCCTGGAGAACTACATGGTGTGTCAATATACTCGGGCAGAGCAGAGCGCCTCACGTTGGGGGTGATCTGGTACTCTATGAAGCTCTTCAGGCCGTACAGTTTGGACTCTTTCTTCGGGTCGGCGATGACGCAATCCAGAGGCGTCGCCGGGTAGAGCCACACCGGACCCACTTCCCCCATCTGATTGGACAGAAAACAAGAGCCAATCACAGCGCACTGCACAGGCCCGTCCTAACTCAGAGACCAATCACAGGCAGGACTCACATAAACAGGAAGCGTTTCTCTGCTGGTGACAGGAGGGCTGGCCAATAGGAAGACTTCTGGGCTCGGCCCTTTGGAGAACGGGAACCTGAGGACACATTACTGGGTTATACTGGGACCAGGACCAGGTCTGGACTCTGAACCAGCGGCTACTGGTCTGGTTATGGTCCGGTTCTGGTCCCTGACCCGGATGAAGGAGTGATTACTTGTTGAGGGAGATCTTGACGGCGTGTCCGTGTGTGCTCCGCCCTGAAGCCCCCGCTTCCTCCTCCATGTGGCCGTTTCCATGGTAACTGCTAACCGACTGGTCGTCCCAGTCGTCGTCCCATTCGCCGTCGTCGTCGTCGCCCCCTGCTGGAGACTGCTGGTAAGCCCCGCCCCCCGACCAGGAGTCTCCGCCTCCTCCGCCAGCAATCTGCAGGAAGGAAGCGATTCTGATGAAGATGATGATGAGGAGGAGTTAGTGGCCTTCCTCCTGACTCACCTGTAGATACCCCTCTGGTACCAGACCGGTCTGGCCGCCGGCGTTCTGAGCAGCGATCCAGCCTCCGCCCACAGTCTGCACAGCAGAGACCAGTTAGCAATGAGAGAGGACAGGAAGGACAGGGAGGACTGGGAGGACGGGGAGGACTGGGAGGACAGGAAGGACAGGGAGGACGGGGAGGACTGGGAGGACTGGGAGGACAGGAAGGACAGGGAGGACGGGGAGGACTGGGAGGACAGGAAGGACAGGGAGGACGGGGAGGACAGGGAGGACTGGGAGGACGGGGAGGACTGGGAGGACGGGGACTACCTGGTCCACGATGGTCACCGTCTCTCCCTCTCGGACCGACAGCTCGTTGTTTCCGGGTTCCGCTATGAAGTTATACAGAACCACAGCCTGAAACAGAACAGAGACCAGAATCGGGCTCAGACCGGACCGCTGGAAATAAAACTGAATGTCTGTGGTTCTGGTCTGGGTCTGGCTCAGGTTTGGTTCTGATTCTGGTCTGGCTCAGTTCAGTCCTGATTCTGGTCTGGCTCAGTTCGGTTCTGGTCCGGTTCAGGTTTGGTTCTGTTCTGATCCTGGTCTGGTTCAGTTCAGTTCTGGTCTAGTACTGGTTTAGTTTTGTTCTGGTCCAGTTTTGGTCCGGTTCGGTCTGGTTCTGGTCCGGTTCTACAGAGTCCAGCTGTGCGTTTCTTCAGCAAATAAAGCTGCAGCTGCATGATGATTAAACCAACTGGTTCCGGTTCTGAACCTGTTTACATCCTGCCCATTAAATACGGTTGCCATGGTGACCCACTGACACATGCAGGCTCATGCAAGACGGAGGAATGAGTTCTGGTTCCGGTCGGTGGAACCTGGACCGTTACGGAATCGCGTCCCGCTGCTATTTGACTTCCGCCTTCTGCCCACCTGGAAGCCCCGCCCCCTGGCCGCCCTGTCTTTGATCTCCACAGGTGTCACCAGTCGTTCGTTCAGCTGAGCCGCTCGCGCACAGGTGACCCATCCCCGGAACCCACCTGACCTCCACGCGCAGCTCAGATCCAGCTGAGCGTGGTTGTGTTTCCGTCCGAACCTTCTACTGGACTTCCGGTACCGCTCGGTCCGGGTCCAGATTGGGGTCCTGATCCGCGTGAGCGCTTACCTTCACAGCCATGCTGACGTCACTGAAGATGGTTCCGAAGCGCCGCGCGGTTCCGATCACAGTTCCATCCCGTCCGCTCTCCCCGCATCCAGCTGGATGTTGCGCTGCGGAAGCATCCGGGTGTTCCTTTCAAAGTAAAAGCACGACGATAAAGAGATCCGTTTAGGACTCGGTTCTGGTCGCTGGTTCCGGTCCAGTCTCTGTGCTGCGTAGGTGTAACAGCGGCAGCTGCACAGATACGGTACCGTAGGCAGAACCGCTCAGAGCAGAACCTTCATCTTTCAACGGAACAAGGGTTTCCTGAGACAGTCAACTTCCGGTTTGTGACGTCAGACACCCGGAAGACAGGGCTGGATTTACTGGGCGTTCCCAGAGCAGCGTCGGGTTGCAGAGGAGCTGCGTTTACGCTATAAATAAAACTTTATATATGAAAACTTTCCACTGGAAGGCATGAACCGATTATGACACTGTGGAAAATATTTCTGTAAAAATATTTAAATTTCAATAAATATTCCTCTATATGAAAATATAAAACGGCAGAGCTAGGTACGAAGCAAAGTACTTCATTACTGCTTGTTAAATACTTATTTAGTTGTATAAGTAGTTATTTTGTATACTGTAATATAATTTGGAACTGTGACATTTATTAATGATGAATAATCCTCGTAATCTCTGTCTATGGCGGCCATGTTTCTGATTGGATCATGACTGATAATAAGGAAGATGATGAAATGTGTGAATATCTGGTCCAATAAGGTTCTGTTCGGAAACCAGAACTAAAGATAAAAACAGAAGTTCAGCTGCTGGCCTCGGCCTGCAGAGGGCGCTGCAGCTGTTTTCTCTCCAGGAGCAAAAACAACAGAACAAGTTTCCTGTAAGTCTTTTATTGGTTTGAAGCAGTTTTCAGGTCAGTGACGACATCAGTTACAGAACCAGAACCTCCAGAACTTCCTGGAAACAAACATTTCTACATAGTTAGAGTGGAGTTATGCAGATCAATACAGATGTAGTTATTGATTAATGCGATCAGTTCATCCTCCATCAGCTTCCTGTCGACTCATCAGTCTGATCAACTCTGACTCCAGGGGGCGCTGTGGCACCTGCAGGTGGCGCTATATCCTCCTGTTAGCGATGGTTAGATCCACACTGACACGTCGATGAGGCTGTTACACAAGCTGACTGCAGGGGGCCGCGGAGCGCTCAGTGGACACCACCACATGACCAGCACGGAGGCCAGCAGGCCAATCACAGAGCCTGCTGCAGACGAGGAGGCGGAGTTACACAGGTCGGAGTTGCAGCACCTGAAGGTGAAGCTGGAAACCTGGGAGGTCAAAGGTCAGAGGTCAGGGTACCCAGTCAGCAGGAACCTACCAGAGAACCCAACTGGTTTCAGTCCTAGTGTGGTTTCCATGGTAACGGAAAACCTCAACAGGAACCGGAACCAGAGGTTCTCCAGGGTGGTTCTGGAAGTTTGTAGTTACAGGCTGTGACCACAGGAGGGCGACAGAGAGTTCCTGGCAATAATAATCATACAATTTTTTTATAGTTCTCTAATTTTTTTAAAGATATATCGACTTGTTCGTTTTGTCCTTCAATTATTAATCTAATTCATAATAAACTATCCTGAAACATTGTAGTGTAATTACAGGCTGTGACCACCGGAGGGCGCACAAGGTCTCTGGCAATAAAGAAAATCTGGTACCAGTTTGGTTCTCCAGCAGAACCTTTATGTCTGAAAAGCTGCAGGGACCGAGACAGAACCTGGACCAGATTCCAGAACCAAACTGGTCAGAGGGTGAACTGGTTGGTGTCTGGACGTGGACCTGGTACCTGGGGAACATCTGGGCCAGGCGGCTCCGCTCACACTCCGTGTACTTCAGACACTTCCTGTAGGTCATCCCACCTGCAGAGCAGCAGACAGCCAGGTGAGAGATCCGGAGCGACACCTGAGGTCCAGAGGGCCCGGTGGACGGTACGCACCTCTCTCGATGAGCGTGAGGCAGGCGTCGTCGTAGCTGCAGTCTCGCTGCTTGGTGCAGCTGGCGGTGTAGTCCTTACAGCTGTAGCAGCGGATGGCGGACCCTGAAACACAGCAGCAGGTCACCTGGGGTCCAGTTCTCCATGAGGGGTCATTCACAGGTCATGAGTTTCACCTGAAAACTTCCTGAACTCTTTTGAAATTCCCAGAAAGTTTTGAAACGTGGCTAAATACAAAGCGGATCATCCCACCGGACTCAGCTGGCTTCATTTGGGCCGACACGGCCGGGTTCTGCATTACTCAAGATTCTCACATATCACTGCAACCCTCAGCTCTCCCAGAGAGCAGGACGGGTTTAGATCCGTCCACATGCAGAGTTCTCAGCCAGTCCAGTTGTTCTTGGCTCGTGTTCTGCTGCTGTCTGATTCCCAGAATCGTCCAACTGGACCTTCCAGGATGTTGAGCAACAGTTATTTCCACATCCAGCAAATTTGAGTTTCTCTCTGACTTTCAAACTGACTCAGAACATTTGTAAACATGAACTATTGATATCATTTTATTCCTCTGCAGTTCCTGAAACGGTTCTAAAAGGTTCTGAATGTTTCTGTGGTTCAACTTAAAGGATGCTCCAGGGAGTTGGAAAAACGACCCAGAAATCTCCTGGGAGGTTCTGATGGTTCCTATCAGCTTTAACATGAACCAGTCAGGAGAACAGAACCTGTTCCCCAACAGATCTGAACAGAACCACGGTCAGAACCAGGACTCAGACTCTGAGGTGCTGCCCCCTATTGGTCAGACCATGTCGAGCAGATGATTCAAACACATCAGAACTTCAGACCCACAAACATCTCAGCAGGTTCTGCTGAGGCGTCAGAACCCGATCAGCCAGGAGAACCAGACGTACCGAGTCCGACCAGAGGAGCAGACCAGCAGGCAGATCACTAGGGAGCACTTCATCTTCACCTCGGCGCAGCTCAGTCTCTCCTACAGACAGAACCAGAACCAGAGAGAACCCGGGCTCAGACAGAACCAGAACCAGGGTTCAGGTCAGTGTGAGCAGAACCTCAGGGTACTCACCCAGCAGGAAGCAGCAGGACGGTTCTGGTGAGGATGAGGAGCAGAAACTGAGCCTCTGACGGATGACTGAACCTCACAAGCCCCGCCCACTGGGAGGAGTCAGCGTCGCATCGTTCATAAGCCCCGCCCAGTGGGCGGGACTTGTGTTCAACCGTTCATAAGCCCCGCCCAGTTCATTCTGTCCCTGACTGGGGGACATGAAGACTGAGAGTCAGGAAAACACTGACCCACTGGTAGAGAGGTTCTGAGTCAACAGAACCATCCAGAACCCAAAGCCCGTTTGGTCCCAGGTGACACCAGATTCAAAATGAGATCAGATTCCTCCAGTTGCACCTGAGAACCACGAAATGTTCTGTTAAACGGGCCGGCTGCATCAGAACCAAACCCAACGCTCCTTAAACGGGCCGGCTCCAGTGAATGGAGGCCTTTGTCGTTTGTTTTGTTAGCAGATGCTAGCAAGTCTCTGATTGGCTGAGAGCTCCACCAGGATGACAGCATGTCAGCCTTATTGTAAAGATGTTTTTGTGTAATATTTATCCGGAAGTGGCGACTTTCCTTCCTTCTTATGATTTGGGTTTAGTTTCTTTAGCAGCCTTTAGTTAGCATGTCTGACACGAGGTCAAAGGTCACCAGGCCAGGCCTTGACCTCCACCCCTGTCTGCAGGGTGGAGGTCACAGGTTCACCTCCACATCCTGTTTAGTTTTATTACATTTACGTATTTTTATGATTGATTTGTGTATTTTTTGCTTTTATTTAAACTCTAATTGTTCTGATATTATTATGACTTATTTAGTTGTAATAAGATTTTATTACATTTTTACACATTTCCTGTATTTTATTTTGATATTTTATCTTTTCCTTTTATGATTGTGTATATTTTTATTTTGGTTATTATTTAACCTTTTATTATTTTATTTGCATTTCTTTTGTATATATTTTGTCTATTGTTTATTTTATGTTTTACGTTGTTTCATTTTTCAATATGTTATGTACTAAGTTTATATTTTTTCTTATTTTGTTTCATTATTTATACTTACATTTTATTATTTTTCTGTTTTTTTAGTGTTTCTCTCCAGTCGTTCTTCCAGCTCTGAGCTTCTTTCTGTTGATGTTTAACAGCCAGACCCCAGCAGCCCGGGGTCACGGGTCATCCTCAGGACAGGCCGTGCCTCTGTGACGGCGCCGTGGAGAGACCGGACCGCGGCTCCGCCTGCGGCCGTTTAGCTCAGTCCAGATGCCGGACAGCTGTGGTGTCGGCCGCTGCGGCCGCCCGGCGCCCAACAAGGCGCTCAGTGTGAGCGGAGAACAACGGCGGCCGTGTTCCCGGCCCGGCCACAGAGGACGCTTGTTCCCCTTCATCAAACATTTATTCAGAACCTCGTCCAGATCCGCTCCACGATATGATGCCGCTGCTCCCACCGGTCCTCCAGAACCGACCCACAGCCAGCACCGGAGGTCAGGGACCGGCTGGAGGCGGAGCCTTCTGACCGTGGAGGTCAGCGACCCCTGAGGGTTTCCACCAGGAAAACACGGCAAAAACACTCAAAAAGGTTCTAGTTCCACTGGCAGATTATTTCATTTAAAAATCTTTTTTTCCCATTTTTCAAGTTAAGTAATAAACAAACTCGTATATCTTGTTCAGACTTTGGAAAACATTTCTGAAAGTGAACATTTTTAGGATTCAGCTCAAAATTTGTGAGTCTTTTGGTGGAAATGGTGGCGCCCCCTGGTGGTCAGAGTCAAACTGAAGCTCTGACTGAATTTACCTGTCTGACCTCAGGAGTCTCCAGATCCCTGCTTCTGATTGGTCGGCACTGCTGGCTGCTGATTGGCTGTCAGGCAGCAGGTGGGAAACAGCAGTCATGTAATGTGACGCCTTCGTTCATCATTGATGAGCAGCAGCTCCTGATGAAGGAAGGTCCAGTTCTGGTTCTGGTTCAGGTCTGGTCCAGTTCTGGTTTAGGTCTGGTTCAGCTCTGGTCAGTTCTGGTTCAGCTCTGCTCTGGTTCAGTTCTGTTCAGCTCTGGTCCAGTTCTGGTCCAGTTCTGGTTCAGGTCCAGTTCTGGTTCAGGTCTGGTTCAGTTCTGTTCCGGTTCTGGTTCAGGTCCAGTTCTGGTTCTGGTTTCTTGGGATCCGGCCAGAATACTCTTGCCTAATCAGCCTCTCTTGTTCCGTCTCTCAGAAGAAAACGGATCAAACTCCTGTTCTGGTAAGTGGATCAGAACCGACCCAGCAGGTTCTGGTTCTACGGAGTGAGTCCTGGAGTTTGACTCTCTGCGGAGGATCTAAGGAATCCACCGGATCTCCATGGACCCGAGCCGCACAGGTGAGATCTGTTGTTCTGAACCAGGAAGGTCCAGACAGGGGTTCTGGTTCTGGTCTGAACCCTGACTCTTGTCTGCCAGCTGAACCTGGACCTGCTGATGTCATCGATCCAGTAAGTCAGTTTCAATATGAACAGTTCTTTTGTTGTTTTTTGTTGTTCTTTGAACAGAACCTGTGACTGAGGCCCGTCTGTCAGTCTACAGAACCACCATGAAGGTCCGGTCTCTGCAGAGGTTCTGCCACAGTAAGATCACTGGTTCCTTCCCAGTTCAGATCTGCACCAGTCAGATCTCACTGACTGACTGCGTTCATTTATGCTGAAAGGACTGTGTTCAGGTCATGAATGAACTTGCTCATTCTAACCAGAACTGGTTCACTTTGCTGATATGGTTCAATGAATCAGTTCATAAATGACTCTGTTCATCATTGAACATGTTCAGTTCACCTTCAATGAACTGAGTGAATCAGTTCATACAACATGAACTGATTCAAGTTAATGAATCACTGAAGGAATCGGTTCAGTTTCATAAATCAGTTCATATTAATGAATCAGTTGACCTTGTGACCTGTCTTTCTGTTCCAGTGGACGCCGTCTTCATTCAGCACATTGCAGCATCCTTCCAGCTGGTGGGTGGGGCTAACCCAGCAGGCTCCCAGCTGGTGGGTGGGGCTAACCCAGCAGGCTCCCACCTGGTGGGCGGGGCTAACCCAGCAGGCTCCCACCTGGTGGGCGGGGCTAACCCAGCAGGCTCCCAGCTGGTGGGTGGGGCTAACCCAGCAGGCTCCCAGCTGGTGGGCGGGGCTAATCCCAGGCGGGACGCCATGTTGAACAGGGAAAGCGTGGCCATGGTTCTCAACAGGATGTTTAATTGCGCGTCCCAGGAAGTGACTGCGGCGGCCTCAGAGGAGACTGGCAGTCTACTGTTCAGGCTGCTTGACCGGTCCGTTGGATCAGCACTAGGTCCGGTTCTGGTTTCTAGACGACTGGGCTGATTGTGGACCTGCTGTGTTTCAGAGAGGGGACCGGTCAGGTGTCGGCCCGGTCTCTGCAGACCGTTCTGGTCGCTCTGTCTGCGGACAGCGTGCTGGCCAAGTACAGGAGTGAGTAACTACCAGAATCCTGATATGAACCAGAAGCATCCAGAACCAAATGGACCCAGAAGGTTCTGGCTCTGTCCTGCAGGTCTGGTTCGTTTGTCAGGAGACTGCTCTGGATCTGTCACCAGGACTGCACTCAGCTCTCTGCTGCAGGACCTCAGCAAGGTAGGACTGCATTTCCCATCATGCCCCAGTGCTCCAGCTCTCTGACCGCTCAGTGTTCAGGTTCCTGCGGCGGTCCAGGAGCAGGAAGTGTTCGGCAGTGTGGAGGCAGCAGTCACTTCCTGTTTTAACCAGGTGAGGACCCACAAACGCTTTGCTGCAGGTGAACCTGACCTCACCTGACCCAACCTGACCTCACCTGACCCAACCTGACCCAACCTGACCTCACCTGACCTCACCTGACCCAACCTGACCTCACCTGACCCAACCTGACCTCACCTGACCCAACCTGACCTCACACCTGACCCAACCTGACCTCTGACCCAACCTGACTTCACCTGACCAACCTGACCTCACCTGACCCAACCTGACCTCACCTGACCAACCTGTCTGCAGGACGGGGCTCCAGCTGTGAGCCAATCACATCTCCTCTCGTGGCTGAAGAGCGAGCCCCGGCTGTGCTATGGTTTACCGACTCTCTACGGACTGTCGGCCAGTCAGAAGGTGAGCCACGCCGTCCGCTGCCACACCTGTAAAGCCTTCCCCATCGCCGGGCTCAGGTGAGTCTGATCGGCTGGACCAGGTGAGGACTGAGAGTCGCTCAGGTGAGACAGAGTCCAGACCCGCTTCACATCTGTGCTCAGGTATCGCTGCAGGAAGTGTGTGAACGTCCAGGTGTGTCAGGAATGCTTCCTGAACGGCCGGCAGACCAGGAAGCATAAAACACACCACCCAGTGGTCGAGTTCTGCACTCAGGTGAGGTCAGTCAGGTGAGGTCAGACAGGTAAAGTTAAAGCGCTTGACCTTTGTTTGTGTGTTTGTGTGTAATCAGCCCACCTGGAAAGAGTCTCTGTCCTCCTTGGTGCATAATGCTCGTCACACCCTGTTGCCACGGCGACATACTCACAGAGCAGCTGATAGGACGAGCGTCCTGACATGGGCGGAGCCAACACAGACCCAGAACAGGTGAGTGATCTGCAGGTAAACCTCTGTGGTCCAGTACTGAAACGTTCTGCCCGCAGAGCTCCGCCCACCTCTGATGCTGCAACGCCACCGGCCGCCTCGGCGCGCTCTTCGTCCTGTGATGAAGAGGAGGCCCGGGACGCCGCGGTGCAGGCGTCTCCTCCTCTGTCCTCGTCCAAGTCTCTGCAGACGGATGAGGCTCCGCCCCCCAGCAGGTGAGGCAGCTCCAGCTGAGCGAAAGGCAGCGTAATGACGCGTCCATCCTGCAGGGGGCGGCGCTGCTGACTGAGGTCAGGAACCTGCAGAGAGACAAGTGGTGAGGCTGGAACCAGCACCATCCCAGTATGGTCTGTACCTGGGTCTAACTGCTTTGAACTGGTCCCACAGGTTGCTGGAGCAACAGCTGGGGGCGTGGCGCCTCACCGTCCAATCAGAGCAGGGCATCCTGGAGGACCGCTGCTCTGAGATGGAGGTCACCATGGCAACGATGAGGCAGCACAACGAAAAGCTGCAGGAGATGCTCAACCAGGTAGCTGTGACTGGCATTGAGGACAGGTGCATCATGGGAGCTGTAGTTTATGTTTGGTTCTTCTGCGTCAGGCTCTGAGAAAGATGGAGGCTCAACAACACGCCAACAACACGCATCACACTGAGGGAGGAGCCGCAACGCCGACCTCTGACCCTCCAACCGATGAGGAGGAAGAGGAGGAGCTGATGAAGGATGGGGACGAATGGGGCATGAATGAGCCTCAAACTCCATCTCCCACAATTCCACACAAACCCAGTCTGTCACATGATGAACAGGAGGAGGAAATGCCAGAGGAACGTCAGCCAATAGGACGACAGGAATCATTAAAAGACTCTCAGCCAATAGGACGACAGGACTCATTAAAAGACTGTCAGCCAATAGGACGACAGGAATCATTAAAAGACTGTCAGCCAATAGGACGACAGGAATCATTAAAAGACTGTCAGCCAATAGGACGACAGGAATCATTAAAAGACTGTCAGCCAATAGGACGACAGGAATCATTAAAAGACTGTCAGCCAATAGAACGACAGGGAGACCTTGAGGAGGCGGGCCTACAAGCAAACATTACCTGTCTGTCCGATGAAGAGGATCCTGGGACTTGTAGTCCTGAAGTCTTGCTGCAGCAGATTGTGGACAGACTGAAGACAGAGATGGACGGGGTGAGAGACAGAAACACAGGTGAGACACAAATGGAGAGATAAATCCTGCAGGTGAGTCACAGGTGAGACAGACTGCCACAGGAGGAGCACCTGTCTCACCTGCCAGGTGTTACCTGTCCTCAACAGAGTGAACAGCTTCGGTTTGTGTGCTTCCAGGTGAGAGCGTGAGGGTGGAGCTAGCGGCGGCAGCGGAGCAGGTGGGGGACGCAGTGTCCAGCCTGGTGGACGCTGTGAGGACAAACTGAGCAGGCGTGGCTCTTAGAAAACGTTTTATTCAGGACCAATATTTAAACACGCAGGTAGAAAAGGTAAAAACATGGCCACCTGTTAAACTGGTGAGAAAGTACAGACAGAGCTGCCGAACAGTAAACAATGATGTCATTAAGTATGTCTCCATGGCAACAAACATGTAGCTGTACTGGTTTCCATTCTGTAAAAACATTGTTTACCTTATAAAATTATTAAAACAGATCATAAAGAAAATAATTTCTATTGTCAGCAATTCTTTACACCAAAGAGGAAATGATCTTTCTTCTTATTGCACAGTGGAGTTTTCTTTAGTGTCAGGTGAGCTGGGACAGGTGTAGCTCCAGTCCGTCCATAAAGAGTCCGGCCTGCTACCTGCCCCCTCTCTCGCAGCCGCGCCCCCTCTGGCTCCGCCCCCTGCGGGGGGCCGGGAGGGCGTGGCCTGTGGAGCTGAGGCGCTTCCTGCTGGGTGGTGCTCGTCGAAGCCCCTCCCTCCTGGGAGGAGGGGGCGGGGCTAGAGTCCTGGTCCTTCTTTGGGAGGGTGGGTGGCGTGGCCTGCCGCCCCTCTCTCTCTCGGTGGGCGGAGTCTGAGGAACCCTTCCTGTCCTCCTGACGGTCTCTGTCCCAGAGTCTGCACTGAGCGCGTTCATCAGGGCCAAGTCGCCTTTAGGCCCCTCCCCCGGCCGGCGGTCCATGTTGAGGTCAGGACTCAGACTCCGGAACAGCTGACGGACGCATGGTGGAGGATGGCCAGAGGGGGCGGGGCCTCTGGGTCTCAGTAAAGCCTGTGGAGGGTTTCTGAGGATCTGATTGGTCCCCGGTTCGTAGAACTTAACAGGAAGTCTTTTATACTTGACCTTTAGCCTCTGCAGGTCGACAGGCCGCCGCCTCCTTCTGCAGCGCTTGGGAGCGGAGTCTCCAGGCGGGGCGGCAGCAGAGCAGGACGGGGAGCAGAGCAGGTAGACCAGCGAGGTGCGGGGCTGGACAGGAGTAACGATGCTGGAGTAACACGCAGGCAGCGAATGCCACGCCTGCGACTCAGGAGTTCTCTCATTGGCTGCAGGGAGGCTGGTGGGCGGAGCCTCTGAGGACAGCTGATGAACAGTCGGGATAACCAATCGTAGCGTCTGAGTGCCGTGACTCACTTTAACCACCTGAAAGGATAATACCAGGTGAGGCGTTTGTTTCCAGGAGAGAAAATCAGACACAACCCCCTCCTGCTTACCTGACACCTGGATGCCACTCTGAAGCTCCGCCTCCTTTTCTTCATCCTCACACAAGCAGAGTCATCATCATCCTGGTCCACCAAGGGCAGAATACCTGTGTCTGGCTCCGCCTCCTGGGCCTGAGGGGCCTCCTTCCTCCTCCTCCTGCCAAACCTGAGGGAAACAGATCACCTGAGATTACCTGAGATTACCTGAGATTACCTGAGATTACCTGACACGACTACTTATGTATCTCAGACTAGTGAACTGTTCCACATTAAATGTTTAGATCAATAGATGACCAAGTGGGCCACACAGGGCTCACCTGTTTACCTGAGAACAAGTGAGCTGAAAAGCTAACAACTAGGAATGGATGTGAACATGTTCACCTTTGATCAGGTGAGTTAACAGGTGAGCAGGTGTTACCTGGCCAGAGACTCTGTGTCGAAATAGCAGATGAATCTGCCCCGTCTGAACTGCTGGACCAGCCTCTCCACGCGGGCCTCGTCCTCCTGTTCAATCTGGGTCCAGGTCTTCCCCCTGAAGGATTCTGGGATATGTTGTGGGACCGGCAGGACGTCCTCTATGGGGACGTCCCAGATGCCCTGGTCCAGCTGGACCGCCTCGCCCAGCAGGGCGCAGTCCAGCTGGCTGGAGTACACCTGGTCCTCCATGTCCACCTGGACGTCCATGAGGCGGCACAGGTCCCGCCCCTCTGTCTGGCTCACCTGGACAGGTGGGTCAGCTCTCTGGAAAACCACCTGCTGAGCAGAATCCCAGTCAGAACCTGGACAAACAGAACCACCTCCACACCTGTACATACCTGGACAGGTTTGTCCCAGTCTTCACTCTGCGTTTCCATGGAGACAGGAAGGCTGAAATGGAGGCTCTCTGTCTCCTCCTGCTGGTGGTGAGGTGAAGTGACGCTGTAGCAGCACATCTGGATCACCTGGGAGGGTTCAGAGGGGACAGGTCAGGTGACATCAGCTCTGCGTCTGATTGGTCGGTTAACCCCAGCTCTGCACACCCACAAACAATGAAAGAAACATTTAATTAATATATTTTCACTTTTATTTATCAGTCATTTAGCATAAATGCTGCTGCATACTTTAGTGGACATTTCTTTATTCACCTGATCAACTATTTATGTATTTTTTAAATTACATTTATTAGATTCCATTTTTCCGATGAATCCCAGTCAGAACCTGGACAAACAGGACAAACATTGGGTGAAAAACCCTGGGTAAACCACCGACCTCTTCAATGGTCTGCTCCTCCGGGTCGCTGTGGGTGGAGAACGCCTCCGCCTTCTGGACCGCCCGCCTCTCCCTCTGCCAACTCACAAAGGGCCTCTGGGGCCTCAGGTCTGAGCAGAACCGGGTCCTTGGTCCAGATGCAGTTTGGATCTTTGGCTCTGCAGGAGCCTGGAGCCTCTGGCTGGCGCTGGGGTCCAGCTGAGCCGGCCCCCAGGGAGCCTGAGTGGAGGATGAAGAGTCACTGGGTTTCCTCCGGTTGGTCTTCCTGTGGGCTTTTCTGTGGACAGAGGGCGGGGCCTGTGGCTGAGGGGGCGGAGCCTCAGGGTGCAGAGTTTGGTGCTGAGGGGGGTGAGTGTTCCTGCAATGGGGCAGAGGAGACGCCTGTCCTTTGTCCTGCCTGTCTGATTGGCTGTGGAAGCTGTGTTCTGTTTCCTGATTGGCTGGCTGACAGGACGCGTCATCAGAGCTGGGCAGGTGTTCTCGAGTGCCTAGCGACTGCCAGTCTCCGTCGGAGGAACAGAGTTCATCAAGCTCCGCCTTCGGCAGCGGGGCGGCGGAGACAGACGGCAGGTCGGCGTGGGACGGCCTGGAGGACCCAGACGGACAGGTTACCCATAGCAACAGCTGGACTGTTGCGTTAGTGGAGGTGTTTGTTTTGCTCACCTGGCGTCGCCGTAGCGATGCGGGTGGTGCTCCTGGACGTCCCGCAGGAAGCGCTCCAGCAGAGTCAGCCTGCTCTGGTTGCCCCTGGCGATGGACACAGGAGCGGAGCCTCTGGCGGACGCCCGGACAGAATCCAGGTGTCTGAGGCTGGACAGGTGCTGTGTGGGACACATGGTGATGATGTCATCAGGAGCCGGAGTGAGGCCAGACTGGGTCTAAACTCAGGCGTTCCTGTACCTGGTCCAGGCTGGTGTAGAGGACTCTGCAGTAACCACAGTAACCCTGCCTGCTGGGCTCACACCTGGACGGACCGGGCTCTGGCTCCGCCCACATCCTGCCAGACAGACCACACCTACAGCTCTCTTTCACTGATGATTGTCTCTGATTGGTTACCAGAAGAGTTAACAGGTAAGCTCACCTGCTGGGAGGCTCTGCCTCCTTCCGGTTACCTTCATCAGACATCCTGACGGCACACCTGGAACACACACATCTAATAACACACCTGCACATGCTGAACACACACATCTAATAACACACCTGCACATGCTGAACACACACATCTAATAACACACCTGCACATGCTGAACACACACATCTAATAACACACCTGCACATGCTGAACACACACATCTAATAACACACCTGCACATGCTGAACACACACATCTAATAACACACCTGCACATGCTGAACACACACATCTAATAACACACCTGCACATGCTGAACACACACATCATCACATCCACTCACCTGGAGGTGGTGCAGTCAGAGGGTCCGTCCAATCAGAGTGCTCCATGCTGTAACTAACAGCAACGAGGCGGGAGCTCCAGAGTCCATGAGCCTGAAGGGGAAGCAGACGCCATACTGGTTGCTATGGTGATGCTCTGCACATTAAGCCCAGAGTCGCTTTGAAACCCATCAGAACTGTTCTGGTGGACCCTGATCTGCAGCAGAACAGTTACCTCCTAAAAGAGCTCAGGAGGTTCTTTACTCTGGACCCGGTACTGATACATGAGCCTGAGTTAACACCTGCTCCTACTGATACTTTTCACAGTTACCTGTCTAACTGTCATCCAATCAAAGCACCGCTCTCCCCGCTGCCAACCAATTATACACCAGATGATTTTCTTCTAACCAATCACAGTTTAGCTCTATGCATTTCTAACCAATGAGCTTGCACTTCTTGTTGTAACAGTAACCCATGTTTAGTCAATTTAAGTCTCGGTTCCGTATTCTGGGTCCAACTAGAGACTAACCCGGGTCGTTTTGAACCGTGACAACAGAGACGCTGACGTGTCACAGCGGTCAGCTTCCGGTTAGCTATGTTGTTAGCAGATTAACTCCTAAGCTTAACGGCAGCACGAAACCAGTCAGCGTTGGTCCGGTACCGGTACTGCCGCCTCGAATCACTGCCTGTCGGGTTCTTTTACCTGCAGCAGATCGATGGTTGCGGTTTTTACGGATTATTTATCTTCTTCCCCCGAGCGGTGCTCCACTGCTGTTTAGTTTCCGGTCCAGTCTTCTTCTGCTCCATGTGGAACAGTTCTTTAAACTGCATCGCCACTAGCGCCCAGATAGAGGAACTGCAGCCTCAAGAGTTAAGCAAGAGATCTAAGGTGATAAATTCACCTCATCATTCAGATTAAATTGGATAAACTGAGGCTTTATAAATGCAACTGTTTCAACCATCATTGCTTCAACTTTAAAGCTGGAGTAAATATTTCCCTAAGATTAAAGACTCAACAGTTGATTTTTGCCAAGTGCTTTTTATTAAACATGATTAACTCAGATCTTATTGAAAGCTGCGACATCCATGGACTGCACAAAGTCCTCGAAGGCTGTAATCTTCTCCTCCAGGATGTCTGTGCCCACCTGCAGAACAAAACACTCGGTCAGACCTCAGAACGACACTCAGAACCAACCAGGCGACGTGTTGCAAGCGTCTCACCTTGTCGTCCTCCACCACGCAGCTGATCTGGAGCTTCTTGATGCCGTAGCCCACTGGGACCAGCTTGGCTGCACAGATCACAGCATGGGTTGGTTATAGTTACTACCCGTCAATAAAACAGTTTAACATTTAATGGATGACTGTGATCAGTTTCTGTAGCGGTCAGATCAAAGAGTGTCCATCAGTCTTCAGCCGAAAGATGGTGAGATGGATCATCATCTGTGCTACTAGAGTAGCTACAGCTAGTGTGGGTGCTATGTGGTACTGGGTTGGGGGTACTGGTCCCAGTACTGTGTGCGGTCCTCTTACATTGTCCCCAGACCAGCCCGTCCATCTCAATGCTGCGGACACACTCCTCCAGCTTGGCCATGTCCGTCTCATCGTCCCATGGCTTCACGTCCAATAGGAGCGACGATTTAGCGATGAGAGCCGGCTCTAACAGGAGACAGACATAGAGTCAGTTACCAAGGAAACCCCGCCATGCTGCTCTCTGATTGGTGGAGACTCGTCAGGTAAAACAGCTGTCCATCAGGCAGTCAGCCGAAAGATGGTGATTGGTTACTCATCATCCAGAGCCACGTGGGTGGATGGTGAGGACGCCTCACTGGTCATGTGATCAGTGAGGGGCCCTGTGATTGGTTGAGTGACGTACTTTTTGCTTTCTTGGCGGCGTACTCGGCCAGGCGCTGCTCCTTCAGCTTGGTCGCCTCCGCGTCTTCCTGACAGACAAAGATCAGGGTTGAACACCACACCTGAGCTCACCCGTGACCTCACCGTGACATCATAACGTCCTCACCTCCTCGTCAGAACCAAACAGGTCGATGTCATCGTCATCCTGGTCTTTGGAGGCGGCGGGGGCGGAGCCTGAGGTGGCGTCGGCCACTCCCGCAGGGCCGTACTGCCCCAGAGGTCTCTTCACACCTGGGAGGCTGACAGCCACGAAGCGTTGGTCACACTGTGCACTCTGACCTGAGGATGAGGATGAGGAAGGGCTCACCTGTTCTTCTGGCTCTGGTACGACTTGATGTGGTTGTACCACCGCAGGGCGTGGCACAGGTCTGCTGGGGGCGGGGCTGAGAGGACGTCAAAGACCACCACGTCAGCCTGAGAGGGGACAAACCTGACGGGGGACAGGGTTACCATGGTTACAGATGACTCAGCTGACCCCTAAAGTTGCATTTCCCCCTTTTTTTTGGGGTCCAGACCTGAACCACTGAGGCTTGGTTAACCTGGACTGCAAATGATTACTGGACCAGAACCAGAACTCTGCCTGACCAGAACCAGGTTTTGATGCGAGACTTGGACACGATCTGTAGTCTCAGATCTAAAACTAAGATAGTTTCTAATATCTCTGGCTCTGAGTGTAGAACCGACATTAGGTCCAGTATGATCCAGAACCTACAGCAGCCACTGCGCAGCCGCAGAGAGGCTGTTAGCACCATGTGACCGCACAGTGGGCCAATTTAAACCCAAATAAACCCAATTATTTTGATCGAAACTATGACGTCCTTTAATCTGCCAACAGCTTTCATACGTTTATATAAAACCACGATGACTTCCGGCTCCGTGGAGCGCTAATGTAGCTTCATTTACCGCCGGAACTGAAGCTAACTGTTAGCCACGAGCTGAGCCAACATGGCGGCAGCCTCGTTGAAGCTGCAGGAGCAGGGAGGTTCTGCTGGGTTCTGCTGGGTTCTGCCGGGTTCTGCCGGGTTCTGCTGGGTTCTGCCGGGTTCTGCTGGGCTCACCCTTCGATGTAGCTGCGCTCCGACAGGAAGTCGTTAAGGACTTTGAGTCCGGAGGCTGATTTCAGGTCACCGAAGCCCATGATGGAGCTGAAGAAGCAGAGAAGAAGAAGGAAGGAGCAGGAGGAGGGAGGAGGATTTATAGCCGGACTGACTCCTCCTAGTGGATCCTGCTCCTCCTCCTTCAGCTCCTGCACAAATTACAATGTTTCATTTATGTCAGATTATTCTGGTGGCTCCAGAGAGAATAAACTCTTGAATAAGTTTATAATGTCACAAAAACCCACTAAATGATTTAAACCCTCCACATGAAACGAGCGTCCAGCAACACCTGGAGGCCAGTCTCAGTATCCAACTCAACGGAAAATTAAGTGGAAGGAAGAACTGCCTGAAAAGACTTTGAAGGAAATGTTGCTTAAATGTTATGAGGTATATTCTTCAGTGACTCATGAAATGACTGTTAAAGAAGCTGCAGAAAACAGGTTTTATTTGACAGCCTGATTTTCATATTTATCTCATCAACATGATCACATGACTTCCTGCTCAGCCACTCTCACCTGTCGCTGACTCTCAGCAGGCCGGTGTGTCTGAACTGGAATGCAGTCAGAGCTGCCTATTGGTCACATGTGCAGCAGCGAGGGCTGCTATTGGCTGTCAATCAGAGAAGGTCAGCTGCGCCTCAAGGCTGTCAGAGATCCAGTCAGACTGATTCTAGAGCTCCAGAGCGATGGGTCAGAGCAGCTCCGCCTGCCCTCAGGTGAGTCCCTTATTTTCCTCTCTTTAGCTGACTATTGAATCCGGTTCTTACCTTCATCACTGGACCAGAACCAGCTTCGTTTAATGGAGGTGGTTTAATAAACCAAGTGGTTCCATTAAGCTCACCTGTGCTGGTCTGGATCAGGGGTCAGGAATACCTCAAAGGTCAGAGACATGCCCACTTACCGCCTGTCCAGAACTTCTGGGCCCGCCCGCTCCATCAGGAGGACCAGACCGATGGATGTTTGTTCCTTACATGATGTCAAAGAGAAGAACAAAACAAGGCCTGAAAGAATCAAGAATCATTTTCTCGTCTGGTTCTGATCCAGAGCTGCTGGAACCCAGAAATGTTTCTAGTCCTGACTTAAAGAAACCCACAGGTTCTGAACATCTCAGGTTTTCAGGAAGTTTGATGGTCCACATGGTTCCTATCAGACCACAAACTCACCCTAAAGACCAGTTTGGTCTTTAGGGTGAGTCAAAGTGTGGGTCAGGGGCCATTTTGGCCCTTGAAGTAATTTTTAACAGTCCATTGTTCACAAATGAACTGAAGCAGAAAAACACTTATTATTTTTGAAGGGCGGATTTCTAATGACTAATTTATATCTTCTTAAGTGTAGCATTGTATGTAGTGTTTTCTTTTATTAGTCACGTTCTGTTTTTATTTAAGATCCTAGTAGATCAGATCACTGACTCTCTCCTCAGAACCAGACTTGGCTGAATACACAAAAGGTTTTTCAATTAAATTATTTTATTCATTGCAGAGAATCCACTAAAAACATTTTTTGGACCAACAAAGAAACATTCAGCTGAGAAACAATACGCCTTTCTTTAAACACAGCCAACGTCTGAGACTTTTGTTGTTGTTGATTCCACTAGCATCGCTTAACTCGATGTGAAAGGTTGAGTAACTACAAGCTTTCCTCTGAGTGGTCAAACTGACGAGTCAAGCTATATAAATTCATTTTACCATTTTACCATTCACATTACCCAGAATGCTGTGCGGTTCTGGATCAGATGTCTGTTGTGGTTGTTACTGATTCATCGTCCAGCTCTGATAGTTCATAGAAGAACAGTTCTTCTTCTCCTTTTCTTTCCAATTGATAAACCATCTGATGATCCTGAACCAGGTGGTTCTGGTTCTGGTTCTGGCCTGAATCTTCTCTGGGATCCAGACTGGAAGACTTTAGATTTCTTCAGCACCAGAACCAGCTGAGTGTCAACCTGAAGCCTGTCCTCCTCTGTCCAGGTGTTGATCATGGGTCTGGACTCTGCGGGGAAGTCCACCCTGTTGGCCCAGATCCTGACCGGACAGGTGAGTTTCAGAGCACTGTGAGGGTCACCAGGCCTCAGGTGTTCTCATGAAACATTTACCTTCTCAGACGGTCAAAACCTCGCCGACCGTGGGCTTCAACGTGGGAACGCTGGACCTGAACAAGCAGTCGCCTTTGACGTTGTGGGACATTGGCGGACAGCAGAGCATGAGACCCAACTGGAAGTGAGTAAACGACACCCGGTAGGAGCGTCGCCCTAGCAACCAGCCAAAGGAATAACGGATGTCCTGCAGGTACTACCTGGACGAGTGCAAGGCGTTGGTGTTCGTGGTGGACAGCACCGACGCGGCTCGCATGCCAGAGGCGCAGAAGGCTCTGAAGGGCATCCTCAGCGACGAGAGGCTGCAGGGAGTTCCTCTGATGGTTCTGGCCAACAAGAAGGATCTGCCCCACAGCATGACCATACGGGAGGTAGGGACACTTCAGACACTTCAGCACACAGATCATCAACAGAACTGTGAGGATATATCAGGCAGACAGATTAAAGTCAGCCATATACGTCCCAATCAAATGAATCAAGTTCAGTTTATTGTTCAAATTAATGAAACCTGTGTGAGAAAACCAGCAGATTGGCCTGCAGCCCTACCTCAAACTGAGCAGCAGGTGGCGACAGAGGGAAGCTGGATGTAACACTGAATGGTCAAAGAGAGAGTGAAACAAGGTCCCGGGCTCAAATCCCTCGTAGGGTCACCCTATGTGACCTTACAAGGAACCATAGGGCAACCTATGGTTCCTAGCTCCATGCATGGAGTGGGAAAGAACCCATGTGAGAGAGAGGATTGGCGTTTGGACCAATGTGGGAGGTTAGGAACCCTAAAGCTGGGAACCCTGGAAGCAGGAACCTCGTGGTTTACTGGGAACCATTCAGAGAATAGGAAGTCTATAGGGGAGCACCATGATGGATCTTTGGTTCCCCATCTTCTCTAGACATCACTGTCGTTTCTTCGACATGATAAAATAGGCTGATTTTCCATTGGAGGTTCTGCCAGAACTCTGTTCTAACATCACAGGAGAACAAATTGACTGAAGGCCAAATTTAACAACAAAGTGAAGGACCTGACTGTAGAGGTGTGAGTTTCTGCCTGGATCCACAGTTGACCCTGAAAATAACGAGTCTGATCTTCTCCTCAGGTGTCCAACAAGTTGAACCTGAACAGTTACACAGACAGAGAGTGGGAGATCCAGGCCTGCAGCGCCACCCAGGGGCTGGGTCTGCAACAGGCCTTCCTGAAGGTCAACAAGCTGATCAAGAGGAGCTGAGAGGACCAGCAAAGGAAGGAGACTCGTTTAACCTCAGGATTTTATTTATAGAGATTAATAAAAGTTTTAGTGATGATCCAGCGGTCTGATTTGTTCCTTCCTGCTACAAAATCATTTCTGTGACCAGTCTGAGAAAACGATGAGCTCAAACAGTGACAGACTTCTGACCATCGCTGCTGACGGCGTCTACAGCTTCTTCTTCTTCTGGGCCGTCGTTCTGTCTCCTTTGACTGCATGAAGACTCTGGAGACACAACCAGGACTGGACCAGGAGCAGAACCGGGATCAGGACCCAGAGTCCATTAAAGAAGACCAGGTAGACCCATAGGTAGAGCGGGTTGGACGTGTCCAGGTGAGGACTGCCCAGCAGCCAATCAGGACAGAAGGTCATCCAGCCGCCGTACAGCTCGCACACGCTCAGAGTGATCTGCAGGAAGTGTCTGAAATACAAGTCATTTCAGAATCAGACTGATTTAATGGCCCGTTTAAGATCTGACTGACCCACATGAAGCATTAAGAATAAAAACTGAATGAAAAAACTAAACAGAATAGACATCAACATGCTGATAAAATGTTTCATGTTTGAACCAAAGGATAAAAGCCAGTCTAGCAGGTTTTAGCAGCACTGGATGTACTGTCAGAGTATCTGTGGTTCTTCATCAGCATACTCTGCAGTACTTGGACTATATCTTGTAACATGTGATACCTGAGTTGGATGGGTAGAGCGTTTTATTGAAACTGTAGCATCACCTGTAGTACTTGTCATTGAGTACTGCATGTATCAGCAGCAGAGCCAGCAGAGAGTCCAGGACCACCGTCAGAATCTCCAAGGACACATGTTTTGGGTCAGAAACCAACCAGCGACTGTCTGCTTTACCGTACTCCTTCCCTACAGGTGGAACAGCTGACACTGTTAAACCAGGCATTAAAACGTTCAGGTATGTTGAAATACTAAAAAACATATTCAGAAATAAAACTCCTATGTCTCCGGAAAGAGCGTCGGTTCTGTAGAGTAAGACAGAAGGTGATGAAGGACCTTCAAGGTTCATGTCTGGATTCAGACGCAGCTCTCTGATTGGCTGATGAGTGTAGCTTAGAAACACTAAAGATCCTACTTTCTGCTGTGTGTCAGAAACAGGATAACACAGAAATACAAAGACGGTTGCAAAACTCACAGAGCTCAGCCAGAGGACCTTCAGATGTCTCCACTGTCCCAACCAGAGACATGTAAACAAACGGACCCTCCTGAGGACAACAGGGACAATCAGCCAGAACAAAGACAGCTGCACTAACCCAACATTGATAAAGAGACAACTTCAGATAGAGTAGCTTTTACTCAACAATTGATTTGGAAATGCTGTTTTAATATTTCATGTTCAGTCCAGACGTTTCTGTCCAGGTGGACAGTGTGGCACAAAAAACCCAAAAGAACAATCTATGGGTGTTTTCAACTCCTAACAGTCTGTTTGATCAGACACCAAAACACCAAGATGTGTTGCATTTTGAGCTGCTGCAGTTCTTTCTCAAACCAAACTTCCTGCTTTGGCGTGATCCCCCATCTGCTTGGCGTTCATATAGGCATTTCTAACTGAACCCAGACCGACGTTTGGAGGACCAGAGTTTGATGACGCATTCACACCAGCCCAAACAAACCAGGCTTTCTAGATAAATGGACTGAAGTTGGATTAAAGTGAACCAAACCAGGGTTGGTGTGAATGAATCCTAAACATCTGGAGAGTAGTGAAATCTTCAAAAGCAGTTCAGAAACCCATGAAACTAAACGAACAACACAAGTACAGTGGAGGAAGACAAAAAGAACCCAAAGGATGGAAAACATTGATCCCAAGAAGAGGACAGTTCAAAGGTCAGGTCCTGAAATGATGAAGGAAAGATGACAGCAGAGAGCGGCTGAACAAGAAGAAGCTCCTCCTACCAGGGTCAGGTGGACGATGACATCATAGAACAGCCACAGCAGGATCCACCAGTCCGTCTTGGAGCTCCGCCCACCATACCTGTGTGTGAGGAGAGCAGCCACCACCAGCTGGAGGCCACAGCCCAGCAGAGACGACACAGAGACGAGAGAGAGCGCAGGCGGAGCCTCAGAGTTCATGGTACCGGAACCAGACTGCGTACTTCACAGGAAATGCTCAGTATCCTGCAAGCTGCATAAATACTTCAGTTGGACCGTCTGATCTGTTCTGCAGAGACTGGACCCAACTCTGGACCTCCCCGCTCACTCTGATTGGTCCTTCGGTTTGATATCACCAACCCTGTTCTGTCATTGGCTGCTGAGGAGACCACCCCACTTCCTGTCTCTCCCACATGAAGGCCATGAACCAAACGGACTGAAACCAGAGTCAGAGTGCAGAGTCTCAGATCCACCTTGATCTGGTTGATCACAGAGATCAGATGATCCTCTGATTCGAACATTTATCCAGCACTTTTGGTTCCAGAACATCAGACAGTGTGTGTGTGTGTGTGTGTGTGTGTGTGTGTGTGTGTGTGTGTGTGATAGTTTATTGACTGCAGAGTTTTGTGGTAAAAAAGAATTTATACAAGCATTGATAAGGTGAAAAGCACCATAATGTTTATTCTCTGGTTAGGAGAGTGACCTCTGACCTACAGAGTTAAAACTTTTATAGCAGAGAACAGAAAAGTGTAACAATATTTACAACAATCTACCAGCAGGTGGCCTTCAGAGAGGTGAAGCAGAGGAGCCCGAATTACACTGAGCCCAAAAGCAAAACTAAAGACATAAACCATAAGTCACACAGTCTGGAGACGTTTGGACAAGAAATGTCCCATCAGCACCAGAGATGAGATGTAGAAGGAATAATCTTTGGCAGAACAAACAAAAAACATTAATGAACCATTTTAGATCAATCAATCAGTTGGAATCACAAAGGTTATCAATAATGTGACAGCAGGCAGGAAATGTTTCACCTTTCTGCCGTTCAGCAACTCTGAGATAATCAGACAATGTTTGATTGAATATCAGCAGAACCACTAAAAACTGATGAATGGAAAACCAGGAACATGATGAGTAAAGCAGGACAAACAAACACTGGTGCAACATCAACTCAGCGGTCGCTGGAACGCTGCTGAACGTCTGGCAGAGATTTTTAGGATCTGCGATAGAATGTGGTGGAAACTTCTAGAGAAATGCAAGAAATAGAGAGAAAACTCCTTGGAATGTAAGACATTAAAAATACTTGGATCAACCGCAGAGGGTTCATCATAGACAATGAATGAGACCTGGTCAGAGGTCTGACTGGAGGTCATCAGATGAACCTCTGAGGGAGGGGCTTCAGGTATCAGGACACATTTAAAGGCCCTGGTTGGGATGTTTGAGGAACTCTGGAAACACATTGGAGGATTCTGCAGATCCAGCGTTTGCTCTTAGGCAGGACAGAAACCCTGGAGGTTCCCTTGTTTCATGATCCACCAGCTTCTTGGTCAGGTTGGACCCAACATAAATCATAAAATGAGAACCAGTGATGGTGGTGTGATCTCTGAGAGGCCCAAGGTTTATCAGAGGAGAAGGTTGGAAAACCTTTGGGAGAATGTGATTGTTGACATTTAATGGAGAGTTTGAGGAATAAAGCAGAAAACCTTTTGATTCGATCTGAGTGGAGTTCCTTAAGAAAACTCTGGACCCTCTGATTGGTCTGATCTAACGCTCATGTTCTGCTTAGGACTCCTCCTCCTTCTCCTCTACTCCGTCCTCCTGAGGGAGGGTGGAGGACAGAGCGTACGCCTCACTGAGTCCCTCAGAGACCACCGACACGTCAGCCTCCACCACCAGTGAGCCCTCCTTCACTTCCTCCTTCTCTTCCTCCACAACCTCCAGCTGCTTCTCTACTTCCTCCCTGACCTCCACTACCGCTTCCACCTGGTCTTGGAGCCCCCCCTGCTGGTCATTCGGGGCCAGCTGAGCGTGGACCTTGGTGAAGGGGAGCTCCAGCTCAGCGCCGCCTGCTGAGGGCAGCTGGACGTCGGCCTCGGCTGTGAGGGACTCCCTGGTCTGGCCTGAGGCCTCCGGAGGCTGGGAGTCTGAGCTGCTGCGAGACTGAAGGACAGAAGAACATCTTTAGTCTGAACTGACACTTTCATGGACCATCTGACGATCCAGTGACCTGCGCGAGTCTCTGTACCTTCTTGATGCCAAAGGTCAGAGGGGAGACCTTCAGGCTGGCGGTTCTCTGCTTGATCTTCTCCCGTTGTTCTGCTGAAACGATCTTTGTCCCGATCTTGTTCATCTTCTTCTCGATGTTGTGTCTGGAGAAGGCTTTCTTCAGGCTGTCCACCTGCAGAGAGACAGAAACCATGACGTTTGTCTGACTGGTCAAAAGCCTGGAGTTCTGCTCCCTGTGGTTCCTACCTTCTTCAGGCTGGACCGCTTCAGTTTGTCCGCTGTGGACTTCTCCATGCCGTCCACATCCTGAGGCCACGGCTCCTCTTCGTCCATGTCGGCCTCCAGACCAACGTCTTCGTCAGACGACAGGTCGATGGTCTGGAATTCTCCGTCCTGCCTGCCGTCGCTGAGACCCGGAGCAGACGGCTCGCCTTCCTCCAGGATCTCATCCCGAGGAAACGGAGGAGGCTCCTTCATGAAAACGCTGGTCGGGATCTCGTTTTCCTCCTGCAGCAGAGCAAGACACCGCGTCACAACCGGACACAGTCACAGAGAGACACGAGGAAACCACGAGGAAACCACAATACACACATTGACCCAGAGGAATCAGACTGGGTTCTGGAAATGTTTTGGAAGAATTCTAGGAATCAATCAATCAGTTCAGCAACATGGCAGCTCGAAGTGCTTTCCATTAGGAAAACATCAAACACAACGGCGTCAGGTGACAGAAGGCTGACTTTATAACTGCCTTTATGTGATTCCGAATGTTCTGGTCAGATTTTGGGCCTGATTATTAGTTTCCACCTGTAATAACTGGAGCTGCGTCTGGAATGTTCTAATGTTCTGGGAATGTTGCGTGTTGCTGGCAGGCGGCAGAAGGAGAGGAGTTGACCTTCCACCTCGTCGACACACAACTGGACCAGCAAGTTATGGTTCCAGCTCACAACAACCCCGTTACCATGACAACCACCGCCCCCTCTGAAGACTTTCCAGGTCGGCTCCCACAGCAGCTCATATCCAAATAAGGTCAGTGGCTGAAGAACAGCCCGGCAGCCTCCGTGAGACCACATTTCCCAGCATGCATCTGGTGACTTTACACCTACCTGGAAGATGAGCACCTTGAAGTTGTTCCTGCTGATCAGGTGGGCGTGGTTCGCCTCCAGCTTCCTCACCTGGGCGCCCTGACGCTCCATCCTCTCCCGGACCTGCAGAGACACGACATGGAGGACATGGAGGACATGGTGGACATGGAGGACATGGTGGATGGTCCGCCAGGTGATCCAGGTGTGCTGGTGGTTCACTGACCTCCTTCATGGTCACGGACAGCTTGCGGCTCTTGTCCAGCAGCTTGCTGACGGTGTTGGACGTGTGGCTGTGACTCTTGGACAGCCGGGTCATGTCCGCCTGGATCCCTCTGACCACACCCTCCATCTGGACCTGGTGCATCTGAAACACACCCAGAACCGGGTCACCCCAGAACCCAGAGTACAGACGAAACCCACTCAGTCATCAAAGAGCCGCTGACAGCTGAAGGTCCGGTCCGTTCCTGCGGTGGTTCCGGTAAACATGCACAGCATGGATGTGACGCCTTCCCTCGGATCTGCACCAACAGGAAGTGGCGTCCACATTCCTGAGGAGGAACTCTGAGCGCTCTGAGGGTGTGTCACAACATGGAGCAGAACCACAACCCGGGTCTGGTCCAGATGTTCCTCCACCTTTAGCTCTGGTTCTGGTTTAATCAGCTGTTCAAACTGGACCCGTCCACTCACCTCCATCTTGTTCTGGTTGTCCTGCACGGCGTCCAGCATGTTGACCAGCTTGTCGAGCAGAGTCAGAACCGTGATGGCGTTGACTGGACCCTGACCCAGCTTCTCCGGGTCGAAGGCAGCAGAACCAGAGGCCTGCTCCTCGCCCTGCGAGTCCAGGTTCAGGTTCAGGTCCGGGGCGTCGGCGGGGACCATCAGGTCCTGGTCCTGGTGGGACTCGGTTGTCACCATGTCGACGGAGGTGTAAGCAGAGTCTCCTGTAGTGGAGAAAACACCCAAACTGTGTTCGCCTGCAGTCAGAGAGCTGCGCTCTGATTGGCTGCTGGGAGGGAAACTTTCCAGATAACTTCCCTCTGTGGAAACGTCCACACCTTTAACCCCTTCCCTGCTGCCCCCGGGACCGACCGGAGACACACTGCAGACACCAGCTCTGTTCACACAGCTTTCACCCACAGAGACGTCTGGACCGGACCACTGGACCAGAACCCAGAACCAGAACCCTCTGACAGCAACAGGTTTCAGCTCTGCTGCCCCCGAAAGGGTTAAACTCTCTCTCTGCCCTCAGCCTGGAGCTCAGTCTCTCCACCACACCCAGGGGGAGGGGGCAGTTACCATGGAGACGGGGCAGGAGAGAGAGCCAGTGAGCGCCAGTGTCTCTCGCTCGCCCATGTTTTTCAGATGAAGTCATCTGGAAGGAAAACTGCAGCTTTCCTCCAATTGTGTTCAAGCTGGAACTCCAGAGGAAAACCGGCCCGGTTCCACTGATCCAGAACCGTTTCTGATTCTGTTAAACTAAAACACAGAGATATTCTTCTATAGCTAGAGTCCTGAGGAAAAACGGCCTATTTAAAGTTCCTCTGTGTGTCCGGGTTCTACTGATCCAGAACCTCTGCTGGTTCTGCTGACTAATATACAGGGATCTTTGTTTTATAACCAGAGTCCAGAGGGAAGAACAGCTGATTTAAGTTTCTTCTGCTATCACTGTTTTTCTGTGAAGCTTTGACCCACTTCTGCTCTAATGTTTACAATATTTACAAATAAATGTAATAATTTTGGCCAAATGCAAAAAATCACAAATGTAACTTGATAAGACATTTTATGTTCCTGTTTTTCTCATATAGATATAAAATCAATTCATATATAACAGTTTCTATGTTTTTATATTGTTTTTGTTGTGTTGTCTACTTTGTTCAATAAAGTTCCTAAAAAAAAAAATGCGCGCATGCGCGGAAGTAAGCCTTAGTAAGTAAACACAAGTCATCTGATTTATGGATGTAATTTGTGATCAAAGAAAGGTGAGGGGTCAGAGGTCAGCTTAGGTTTATGTTTTAGGGTGTTAGAGGAAATAGAAGTGGCTCGGTTCTGAAAGCGGTTCGGTTCTGGAAGTGATTCAGTTTTGAGAACGGTGGCTCCTTCGTCCTGGAGGCTCAGGTCAGCTGACCTACAGCCCGTCTGTGCTGCCGAACCCCTGCCTCATCCTGCGGTTCGGTTCTGGTCAGACGGCAGAACCGGCTCCTCTGTTCGGAACCAGACCACATCATCCTCCTCCTCAGGATGGCCTTCATCACCGCTAACTGGAACCCGCTGGGAGACACTTTCTACCGGTCAGTACCACGCACACCCAACAGCTGGGGCTCCGCTCCGCAGCTGGGTCCGAACCTGCTGGGTCCGAACCTGCTCTGTTTACAGAACTGGCCGGTTACATTAATCACATGACTAAAACTGAAGCTAAAGCTAGCTTCCGCCACACAGCACACCTGTCCCCTCCCTCCTCTCCAGGTGAGTTCTTGTGGACCCAGACTAGAGCCGAAGGAACCATCGGATGTCTGCCTGCCAGGATCCGGGTTCGGACCGGTTCTGTTTGTCACACAGAGACCCGGTTACCTGGAAGGAGCTGAAACCTGAGCAGAAATGAACAGAGTCTGGTCGGTTCTGCTGGTTCTAGCGTTTAGCTGTCCCGGTTCTGTCTCTGCAGGAAGACGGAACTTTATGAGATGTTCTGGAGCCTCCGGGACGGACTGAGGGACAGTCTGGTGGCAGCAGCTCCGTATGGAGGCCCAATCGGTGGGTTCTGGTTCTGGTGGTCAACCTGGACTCTGTCACTTTATTCAGTTGCTATGGCAACACGATGTGGAGACATGGAGCCTGGTGGTCCTCTTAGCTCAACCGTCTTCAGTCTGTTACCATGGTGACACAATCAGTTACCGCTAGTTGTTAAGGTGTTGTTGTGTCCCAGCTCTGCTCAGAGAACCGCTCAGACGTTCCCCCAGCTCTCGTCCTCAGCTGGAGATCTACTCCGCCTCTGGAGCGTCCATCACCAGCTTCCCTGTAAGGACAGGCGTCCAACACAACCCCTGCCCCAGAGTGACCTCGCCCTGTCCCTCACCTGTCCCGCCTGTCTTTCAGTGGAAGAGCGGTCCGGTGGTCCACCTGGGCTGGTCCGTCAACGACGAGCTGCTGTGTGTTCAGGAGGACGGGACAGTTCTGATCTACGACCTGTTTGGGTCCTTCAAGAGACACTTCAGCATGGGACAGGTGGGTCCAGTCAGAGACGTGTTGTGGGACAGGTGGGTCCAGTCAGAGACGTGTTGTGGGACAGGTGGGTCCAGTCAGAGACGTGTTGTGGGACAGGTGGGTCCAGTCAGAGACGTGTTGTGGGACAGGTGGGTCCGGTCAGAGACGTGGTGTGGGACAGGTGGGTCCAGTCAGAGACGTGTTGTGGGACAGGTGGGACAGGTGGGTCCAGTCAGAAACGTGTTGTGGGACAGGTGGGTCCAGTCAGAGTCGTGGTGTGGGACAGGTGGGTCCAGTCAGAGAGTGTTGTGGGACAGGTGGGTCCAGTCAGAGACGTGTTGTGGGACAGGTGGGTCCAGTCAGAGACGTGGTGTGGGACAGGTGGGTCCAGTCAGAGACGTGTGTGTGACAGGTGGGTCCAGTCAGAGACGTGTTGTGGGACAGGTGGGTCCAGTCAGAGACACTTCAGCATGGGACAGGTGGGTCCAGGTGGGTCCGGTCAGAGACGTGTTGTGGACAGGTGGGTCCAGTCAGAGACGTGTTGTGGGACAGGTGGGTCCAGTCAGAGACGTGTTGTGGGACAGGTGGGTCCAGTCAGAGACACTTCAGCATGGGACAGGTGGGTCCAGGTGGGTCCGGTCAGAGACGTGTTGTGGGACAGGTGGGTCCAGTCAGAGACGTGTTGTGGGACAGGTGGGTCCAGTCAGACGTGTTGTGGGACAGGTGGGTCCAGGTGGGTTCGGTCAGAGACGTGTGTCCACTGGTTGTCTTGGTCTCAAACAGGAAGTGGTCCAGTCAGAGACGTGGTGTCCACTGGTTGTCTTGGTCTCAAACAGGAAGTGGTCCAGTCAGAGACGTGGTGTCCACTGGTTGTCTTGGTCTCAAACAGGAAGGGTCCAGTCTCAGGTGTTGGAGGCCAAGGTTTTCCACTCGCCGTATGGAACAGGTGTCGCCATAGTAACGGGTTCCTCCGCTTCACCCTGGCAACCAACATCGAGGACTTGAAGCTGCGCAGGCTACCTGAGGTCCCAGGTAAGGACGGCTTGAGGACAGCGCATCCGGGCGTCCTCTGCCCGTCCCCCACCTGTTTTCTGTCCCCTCAGGTCTCCAGGGCAAGCCGTCCTGCTGGGCCGTCCTCACTCAGGACAGACAGACCAAAGTCCTGGTGTCCAGTGGACCTGAACTCTATGTTCTGGACAACACGTCCTGCACGGCTGTGGTAGGCTCTTTGCTCCGCAGACAGACAGGTGAGCTGAGGACTCTCACCTGTCTCACCACCAGTCTGTCCTCAGTATCCTCCAGGTCTCAGTCCTCAGGCTGGCAGCATCGTCCACATGTCTGTCTCCTTCAGCTACAAATACCTGGCTCTGTTCACTGAGACGGGACGGCTCTGGACCGGCTTGTCCAACCTACAGGTGAGCAGGCTGCTCTGTCAGGGGCGGGGCCACACCTGCATGGGGTCTGACAGGTTTCTGTTGTCTGCAGGAGAGACTGAGTGAGGTGGACACCAAGCAGGCAGCTACGCCCAAACAGATGGTCTGGTACGTTGACCTTTGGACCTGTCTATCAATTGACCTCTCTACTTCTGCACCTGTGTGTCCGTTGACCTTTGAACCCATCTACCTGTCCAGGTGCCGCAGGCCGAGGTCCCAGCAGCCCTCAGTGGTGTTGATGTGGGACCGGCTCCTCCTGGTGGTGGGATCTTGTAACGACACCATCCAGTATCCTTGAGCTGAGATCAGACTGGACTTGGGGCAGATTGTTAGAGTGGTTGACCCTTGACCCTGAGCCAGGTTCCCCCTGGAGGACCAGTCGGTGCTGGTGGGCGAGCTGGACGGGGGGTTCGGATCATCGGCTCCGGCAGCCAGGAGCTGCTGCAGGAGGTTCCTCTGGTCTGCCAGGACATCTTTAAGATCGCCTCCATGGCTCCTGGAGCGCTGCTGCTGGAGGCCCACCGGAGTACGAGGTATACTGGTCACACTGGGCGCTGGGGCTGCTGCCGGCGACGCCCGACGCGGTTCTGATCCCTCCTGTCTGAGCAGAAGTCCAGTCAGAAGGCGGACGAGTACCTGAGGGAGATCAAGGAGCAGAACGTCCTGGGAGACGCCGTCCGGCAGTGTGTGGAGGCGGCCGCTCACGAGTACGACCCCGACACCCAGAAGGCCCTGATGAGGGTGAGGTCACCAGAACCACAGAACCATCCAATCATGGGACAGAAGCTGAGATCACTCTATACGCATGAACTTCATTGATTGATTGATTGATTGACTGATTGACTGATTGACTGACGCGGCGTCTATCCGCCAGGCGGCGTCCTTCGGGAAGTGCTTCCTGACGGAGTTCAGCCCGGATCAGTTTGTGACGACCTGCAGGGAGCTGCGGGTTCTGAACGCCGTCAGAGAGAGCAGCGTGGGGATGCCGCTCACACACTCAGTATCCTGCCCTGGTGCATCATGGGAGGTGGAGTTCTGGGGAGATAACTATGATTTCATTCAAATGGAGAATTGATGTTGTTTTATCCGATTTTTCCATAAACTGACGTTCTGAATCTAAAGTTCCTTCTTTTCAAATCTGTTTTTGATTGTTTTTGTTTTAATGAGTTGCTGCTTCTATTTCCTTTAGTTTTGGATATTTAAACTTTTACATGGTTCATATTAGATATATGTGAGATGCTCCTTAACCTCTGACCTCAGATTTAAACAGATGACCCTTCAGGTCCTGATAGACAGGTGAGTCCTTCCCCCACCTGTTGCCAGATTGGCTCATTGTTGAAACTTGAGCTGCTTTTCACAACATTTGGTGATTTTAGAGAAACATTTTTAAAAGAGATACTGAGGACGAACCGCACAGCATTCTGGGGGATTAGGCAAAGGAAACATTAGCCGTTAAGCTAGGTTGGTGGAATCAACAAACTCACTCGCTCTTTGGTTGCCTAGCAACAACTTGCTGAGTCACAGCATCAGATTAAGGTTTAACCACTGTTCATTAAAAGTGATTAAAAATAAAAACAGCAGAGGAGAGAAAACTGGATCAAACAGGACAGATCTGGCGACCCCGACCCCTCCTGACCCGCGTCCAGCTCGTCCCCCTCAGTGTCTCCTGTTGTCCCTCAGGCTGGTCTACCGGCAGTTCTACCCTCTGGCCATCGAGGTCTGTCGCTACTTGAAGATCCCAGACTACCAGGGAGTCAGTCGAGTCCTGAAACACTGGGCCTCCTGCAAGGTAACTCTGCCTGTCCCCACCTGTCTCCAACTGTCCCCTCATACGTGTGTGTGCGTGTGTGTCCAGGTGCAGCAGAAGGACCTGACCGATGAGGCCATAGCCGAGCCGTCTGCGCCAAGGTGGGAGACTCACCTGGAGTTTCGTACTCGGACATCGCGGCTAAAGCCTATGAATGTGGACGGCCAGAGCTGGCCATCAAGGTACGCTGCTGCTGCTCTGTAGGGTTCAGACCTCAGCGGCTTCATGCGGTCCGTAGTAACCTCTTCCTCTGCCTGCAGCTGCTGGACTTCGAGGCCCGGTCCGGGGAGCAGGTTCCTCTGCTGCTGAAGATGAAGAGGAGCCAGCTCGCTCTCAGTAAAGCCGTGGAGAGCGGCGACACCGACCTGGGTGAGTCATCAGGCTCCGCCCCCAGCCTGCAGACTGGGGGCGGAGCCTGCTGACCTGTGTGTGTGTGTGTGTGTGTGTGCGTCCAGTTTACACGGTGGTGACGTACCTGAAAAACGAGATGAACAGAGGAGATTTCTTCATGACACTGAGGAACCAGCCGGTGGCGCTCAGCCTCTACAGACAGGTGAGCTCACCTGGGCCGCCTGACCTCCACTGGAGAGACTGGAGGTCAAAGGTCCTGACAGGAAGCCATAACCATCTGAAAGACAAAAAATCTCCCAGAATCACTAAATGTAAACAAAGTCCAGGCAGGCGTTTCCTGTTGGTTACCATTGAGACGAGTGACGTGTCCTCTGTGTCTTCAGTTCTGCAAACTGCAGGAGCCTCAGACGCTGAAGGACCTGTTCAACCAGGACGACGACCACCAGGAGCTCGGCAACTTCTACGTGACGTCCAGCTACAGGGACAAGGTGAGCCGCTCCCACCTGGACAGGTAGGTGGGACGACTGTCCACATCCTCACCTGTCCCTGCTGTCTTTATCCAGAGACTGGAGGGCCGGCTGGCACAGCTGCAGAGCGCCGTGGACGAGTACAACAAGGCCAAGAACGACTTCGCTGCCAAGGTAACGGTCTCACCTGTACACCAGGTATGTCCACCAGGTGTGGACGGTCTCTGATGTCTCCTGTCCTTCAGGCCACGGAGGAGGAAATGCGTCTCCTTCGTTTCCAAAGGAAGCTGGATGACGAGAAGGGGGCGGGGCTTCTGGGACTCTCCCTACAGGTATCTGTAAACACAGGCGACCAGAGACCAGCTTGGCGTTACTGAGTGATGTCACTTCCTGTGCAGGCCACCATGGAGGCTCTGATGTCGTTGGGTCTCCACAAGCAAGCAGAGCAGCTCTACAGAGACTTCAGAGTGCCGGACAAAAGGTGCGATGTTACGGCAGGCTGGGCTGTTATTGGCTGGATTGATAGAAATATTTCATTTTGGAGGTGACTCACTTCCTGTCTCACCTGCTCAGGTACTGGTGGCTGAAGCTGAAGTCTCTGGCTGAGAAGGAGCAGTGGGAGGAGCTAGAGAAGTTCTCCAAGAGCAAGAAGTCTCCTATTGGCTACCTGGTGAGAGAAGCCCTGCCCCTCACCTGCCCGCTTTAACTGTGAACTGCATTTCCCATGATTCTTTGCTGCCTGCCTGCCCTCAGGCCTTCGTGGAGGTGTGCATGAAGAACAACAACAGACATGAAGCCAAGAAGTACGTCAGCAAGGTCACACCTGAGCAGAAGGTCAAAGCTCACCTGGCTGTGGGGTAAGACCACACCTGTGACATCATCACACAGCAGAGCCCCGCCCACTGCTCACTCTTCTTCTTCTCTGGCTGTCAGCGACCTAGATGGAGCAGCAGACGCCGCCATTGAGCGCAGGAATGAGTCTGAGATGGGGGCGGTCCTCTCCAGATGCTCCGCCTCCGACCGGCTGCTGATGGACAAGTTGAACCGGGCTCGGGTCGCCACTGCCAAGAAGTGACCCGATCCGGGCCAAGAAGTGACCCAATCCGGGCCAATAAGTGACCCGATTGGAGCCCAGTCACACCCCATTCCTGCAGCTAGCAGCGCTAACACAGTCTGCTAAATAAATGCTTCTGTTTCCGACCCATTGTTCCATTTGTGGCCTGTTTCTGCTGTCTTCAGACTTTGACTAGGCCACTCTATCCCATGAATCTGCTTTGAACATAACGTGTCTGGCTCTGTGCTCGTCTTCCCACAGCGTGATGCTGTCACCAAGTGCTTTGTTAGTTAGTCAAGAATTAACAGCAACAATTTCGGTTAGTTTGTCATAAGATTAAAAAATGGCTAAAAATTTGATTAACCAACCAAATATTTACCTACAAACCAAATATTTAGCTTGTAGCTAAATATTTAGCTAGCGTAGAGATAACACGTTAGCCGGCTAACCGCATGTAACATGTAATATTTTGGAGCTAAATATTTAATGAGAAGCTAAACGTTTACCTTTCTAACCAGCTACACGTTTAGTTAGCTGCTGCTGCTAACTATTTGTGGACTTTGTGTTGGACGGAACCAGTTCTGGGGTTTAAACTGGAGTCCGGGTCAGAACCGACCCTGTAGATGTGGACGCGGCGCCCCCTGCTGGTCCTCAGGGATTAATTAATGAGACCCACAGAACCACTCCAGAACCGAATTTCAGGGATATTCTATTGTTTTCTAACTCTGGGTTCCGTTCAGCCCGATGCTGGGTCATGTGATCCCAGGCTCTTTGCTCGTAGCAGAACCGAACCCAGCAGACCTGAATCTGGGCTCTGATTGGTTGATTAGTCATTTAAGCTGGACTGGGTCCAGAACCCAGCGCTGATTTGGGCCGAGGCCAGGATGATGGAGAGGATCCAGCCAGGGGCGGTTCGGTTCGGGGCGGAGTGGGGGCGTGGCCTGGATCAGGAGACATAAAAAAGGCTCGGTTCGGCCAGAAGTTCTGCAGGGAACTCCGAAGTTCTGCAGCAGGTAGGTGGTTTCGTTTGGGTCCAGGTGTTCAGGTGCATGACCGACTAGTTCCGAACCGGGCTCAGAGCACCACGTGATCTAATCAGCACCAGAGACGAGGTTCTGGTCCGGTTCTGAGTCCAGTTCAGTTCCAGACGACTTCTGCAGAGTTTCATGATGCGTTCAGGCGCAGCTCGGAAACGGGAGACACTGGTCAGCCTCGTGTTCCGATTCGACCCGGACCGGCTCAGCTCACAGCAGCGAGTCCACTTCCGCCTCCGGAAGTTAGAAGCGGAAGGAACAGAACCAGTGAAAACAGAACCGAGTCAGAACCAGAACCCTGGAGCTGGACCACATCAGAAAGCGCTGAGTCAGCGTCTGGTTAACCTTTAACCTTTCGGCTCTGATGGTTCTGCTGTCTGATGGTACCGCAGTACGTCCTACCGGACCGCGGTACTTCAGTCTTCACAGGCCGTGTATCTATTCTAGTATGGAGGCCCAAAGGGCCAAAATTCAATAAATACTATGAAAAATAAATGTCATATTTCTAAAAATACATTAATTTCAAAATACATATTCAGTCTTTATTTAGTTTTAAATAATTCTAGGTATTTTTATCTGTGGTATTACAGTGACATCACGTACAGCATCCTGTAGTAGTACATTAATAGAGTACTATTAATAGAATATTATTAATGTACTACTACAGTACATTAATAGTACTACATTGCTGGATTGAAGCTAGAAAGAAAAAATACATTTACATCACAAAATTCAGCAATTTTCTAGAAAAACCTTGCAAATTTAAAAGTTTGAAAAGTCAAAATTTTGTTAAAAAAATTCAAATCTCCAGATTTAAAATATTTTCTTGCAGAAAGTGAAACTTTCTGACCTTGTATTGTCTAAAGTTTTTGACTTGTAAATTCTCTGAGCTCCAAAAGTCAAAAACTTGCAAAACAACAAACAAAATTAAAAAATTTTGAGTTTGAAAAGTTGAGCGATTCTGACTTCTGGAAATATTGGGATTCTTTTTTCAAGTGGAGAAGTTTTATATCAAAATCTTTCGATTTTTCTGGACTTTTTTGACTTGTGGATCTCAGAAATTTACTTGTTTTTCTAGAAAATTCCCCGCCTGAAGTTATAAACTTCTCGTTTTTATGCCTGTTAGGAATACTAAAACTATTTCTGTTTGCTAAAAGCAGAAAACTTGGAGAACATTTTTTGTTTCATTTTCTAGCTGTGACTCTACCTCTGCTGGCGCTCCTGCTCAGTGATTGGCTCCAGCAGACAGGTGAGATGTCGTCGGTGAAGGTGGAGTCCGTGGTGAAGGAGCACGCTCAGATCGGCGAGGGGCCGGTGTGGGAGGAGTCAGAGCAGACGCTGCTGTTCGTCGACATCGCAGGACAGAAAATCCACCGCTGGAACGCAGCGACCAATCAGATCCAGTCTCTGCAGACAGGTGGGCGTGTCCTCGTCACCTGAGGCTGCCTCACCTGGCCGCTCGTCACAGCTCTGCTCCTCTTCCTCAGCTGACACGGTGGGATTCGCGGTCCCTCGCCGATCCGGCGGTTACGTCGCAGGCGTGGGCTGCAGCATCGTGGCTGTTGATTGGTCGACTCAGAAGGTGACATCACTGGCCAGCATCGAAGACGACAAACCAGAGAACCGTCTGAACGACGGGAAGGCCGATCCGATGGGACGGCTGCTGGCAGGTACAGCACACCTGTCGGCTGCTGACTCACCTGGTCAGCCTTAACCATGGCGATGTTCTTCCTCCCTCAGGGACGATGAGGAGGGACGCTCAGACCGCTCAGGTGAAACCAGGATCTTTGTACCTGATGAAATCTGACCTGTCTGTCACCAAGCTGCTGGGCCAGGTAGGCTCACCTGGCGGCGCCCCCTACAGTCAGTCTGCGTACCTGCAGCTGGTGGGCGGGGCCTCACCTGTCCCTCACCTGGCAGGTGGACATCTCCAACGGGATGGACTGGACTGCGGACCTGAAGACGCTCTTCTACATCGACAGCCTGGCGATGAGCGTCGACGCCTTTGATTACGACTCGGCCTCTGGAAACCTGGGTAACCACACCCATAACCGCGGCAACGCCCGCAGCCTCCGCCCGCAGCCTCCGCCCGCTCCGCTGCCAAGCTTCCTGTCTGTGTTTGTCCGTCGCCTAGGTAACCGCCGGGTGGTGTACCGGTTGGCGGAGGGGGAGGGCGTTCCCGACGGGATGACCCTGGACGCCAACGGCCGCCTCTGGGTGGCGTGCTACGATGGAGGACGGGTCCTCAACATCGACCCCGCGACTGGTCAGTCAGACTGGGAGGACTGGTCAGTCAGACTGGGAGGACTGGTCAGTCAGACTGGGAGGACTGGCAAATGTCATTTCAACATTTGCTTCATATTTTGAAAGAAAAATAACAAAAACTATTGGCTATAGTCGAGTTGACCCCTGACTCGGGGCCAAAGGTCAAGCACACACCCAGGTGCAAGTCCTGTTTGTTTTAAATGTTTAAGTTGTTCTTAGTTCATTCAGAAGTAAAAATGGTTTTAGACGTTTCTGTGTTTAGCTGAACATGATGGACGGATTTGATCGTTTGTCAGCAGAAACTCGTTTCTTTGAAAAACTCTTAATATGGCGGGTCGAACAGAACCGGACGGATCCGTTCATCAAGTTCAAGCTGTTGGACTTTCAGCCATTAAACGATTTCGGAGCACAACTTTGATCTCTCCAGATTACAGCAGATTATTCAGCAGGAGCCGACCCAGTAAACCCAGTTAACTGGTTAAACTGGCCGTTCCTCCTCTCAGGTAAACGCCTGCAGACGTCTCTGCCCGCCACAAAGACCACTTCCTGTTGCTTCGGCGGCCCAGACTACTCTGACCTCTACGTGACCTCGGCCAGCCTGGGTCTGGACCAATCAGAGCTCCAGAAGCAGCCGCGGCCGGGAACACCTTCAGGGTGAGAGCCCCGCCCCCCGCCCCTCCCTCACCTGTCTGAGGCCTGCTTTGACCTGCGCTGTGTCTGTGTGTGCAGGTGACAGGGCTCGGGGTCAAAGGTCGACCATCAAACGCATTCAGCGGGTGACCTGCAAGAGGCGGAGTCTTCTGATCTTCTATAAGGCTGCTGATTAATAATCAAACTGGTTCAATAAATGATTTTACAGTGCTCACCTGTTCTCTAATAAAGGCCGAGCTGAGCGCTAAGCATGCTGGGAGTTGCAGTCTCTGACGGCGTCGTGATGCAGAAGGTTTGTTTTATTTCCACACCGAGTGCAAAATAACAGCAACAACAACACAGACGGACAGAGAAGCTACAGAACCTTCTAGAAAACGTCTGTACACGTAGAAAACCTTGTGCTCTGAACGTTTGGACTGAAAACAACTGAAAACGGGCCGGAGGGGAGGGACAGTGAGAGCACCGTCAGTGCTGATGCTGACCCGGGTCCAGTTGGTGATTCTTAGTGTTTACATGGATTATACAGCAGACGGTGCAAACATGCAGCAAACGGCCAAACGAGCTGCAAACATGAAGGATTCAACTGCAAAACAAAAGGAAGAAAAATGTCAAATCAGTAAAACTGCATAAAATAGGAGAGGGGAAAAATACCACAAATAGTGAAAACTACAATGGCGTATTCTAGATATAAACTGAGCAAATTACCACAGAAAGAATCTAAAATTTTGAGATTGATTTCTGAGAAAATCCAGCAAATTTCTGACTTTCAAAGATCAGAAATTTGTTAGAAAAACTTATGAAATTTTAACTTTAAAGAAACTGAAATCTGTAGATTAATCTCAGAATTTTTCTAGAAAATACTCAAATGTTTGATTTTCAAAAGTCTAAAAAATTTTTTTAAATCATTATATTTTATTCCTATTATTTATTAATTATAATAACACTGTTGTATAAAACGCAGCGAACTAGCTAAGGTGGATAATCTGAGGATAAATCCTCCCTTATGACTAAAGTCCTCCAGGCCACTAGGGGGAGTCGACCAACAAGTCATACGGAGCCAGTAAACATGGGATTTCAATCGGAGACTTGGTAGAAAAAGTTTTGCTATCAGCTTTATGTTTCTTCAGACTCCCTCTAGTGGCCTGGAGGAATTCTGTGTGGGCTTTTCTCCTTTTTGTTTCCATCTCCCATAGTTGCAGCGTTTTTCTGTTGCGTGTTTTTGTTTTTTTGTATGTTTCCTGTTTGCAGCTTGTTTCGCCGTTTGTTGGGTCCAAACTGCAGAAGCCTGCTGGTTCTGTTGTGGCCAGCAGCACCTTTTGGACCCACCAGAGGCAGAAACGCTGGTTTCTGGTCGACTCTGCTGAGTCTCAGGTGGATAATCTGAGGAACAGAGGTGTTTCTTCAGGAGTAAATGTCCAGATTAACAGAGTTTGTTTGGGTTCTGGAGAACCGGTTGAACTGATTTGGGTTCCGGCGCTGTGGATCTGTAAGGCCAGTAAATACAGCAGAAGATAGAAGCATACGACGCGGTGAGAAGAGTTGAACCCTGTACAAGCGGACGCAGACCGGAGGAACCCAGAACCGCCACAGAACCTCAGACCTGTCGGCCTGCAGCGCCCCCAGTGGAGAGGAGGACTATAGCACCGTGATAAACTGAACCCAGGGGGTTTTAATGGCACCTTATGTTTGACTCAGACCTCTACCAGCTCATGGTTTCTACCCGGCAGCCATGTTGGGCAGGTGTTGCCTCCGCCATGTTTGAAGGCGTTTGGGTTTGTTCTGAAAGCACCAGAGGTCCGTAGCAGGTCTGGGTTCCGACCAGCGACCAGGAAACTAAAACATGATCCATCAGAAAAGTTCAAAGTGCTCATTGGTCCCGTTGCTCCGGAGTGGGCGTGGCCAGCTCAGTAATGCTCCTCAGAGTGGGCGGGGTCACAGAAGAAGCGAGAGCTGCGTTTGGCCGACCGGGCCGTGAAGGGAACCGTCTTCAGTGCTGAAACGACCAAATACAGCCGCTGGTCAGTAGAGCGCCAGCTGACGCCATGGTTACCAGGGTAACCGTGTTACCTGTGATGATGTCCTCGATGGCGCCGTCTTTCCCTTCGTACACGTGGCGGCTGTCCTTGCCCTGCTTCCGTCTGAGCTCTGTGATCAGCTCCTGCTGCTGCCGCTTGCCTTTGTGCGATGGAGACTGGGAGGACGAGGCAAGGTCAGGGTCACGAAGGTCCAACACTTCATAAGACTAATAAACCAGAACGGGTTCCTGACTGACAACGTAACGGACCTGCAGGGTCACACAGGCCGACCCGGTTCTCTGGGTCTCATCTAGAAACTAAATATTTAGTTATTGGTCTAAATATTTGGTTAGCAATCAAACCAGTTAGCTCCAAACTGAGTATTTATCCCTTTACTAGCTAAATATTTATTCTACCAACATAATATTTATCTCCAAACTTCATATTCAGTTAGCTAACTGTACCTTGGTCTCCGCCTCCTCCTGCTGCTCCTCCTGCTCCAGTTTCTCCAGCAGCATCTGCTCCTGGCGCCTCCTCTGCTCGTTCTCCTCCTCCGCAACCTAAACACACTTCCTGTTACCTCAAACTTCCACCACTTGTTACAAAATGTGGGCGGGGCTTCCGTTCAGCAGGCCACGCCCACATCGCGGCCCTCACCCTGTAGGCTTTGATGAACCGGACAAAGATGGGGAAGAAGACGGACGGCGGCATCGTTTTGGAGCTTTCCCCAAAGAACTTCACGGCGTCTTCGAAGGCGTCCTGCAGTTCAACACAGACATGGCTGCCTCGTTTCTACGGTAACAGTCATAGTTAATCAGGAACCAGCTGGGGTTGAACTTTGACGCCTTTCAGAAATGTGTTTTTTTCTGAAATTAATCTCAAAATTTCAGATTTTTGGGGTAGAAATGAATTCCTTGGTTTTTATAAGTATGCGCGCTGAATGTAAACGTGGAGTTGGGGTGTGGCCAGGAGCTTTTTCTGATTTAAAGGGACAGAGGCCCTAATGCAGCTCAGAACAGGAGAAATTGACCAGACTAAAGTTTCTGAGAATGATTTGTTTAGGCCACAGACCGATCCGAACCTCTTCAAGGAATCAGAATACTTTCACTTTAGATTTATCCTAAGAACTGTCACTGAGTCACTGAGGGTCAGTGACTGAACTGTCACTGACCCTGAAGACTGGGTCAGAAATCGTCCTAAAAATCTGGACATCATTTTGGTGTCAATGAGACGTTCTTCTGCCGATGGCTAACCGAGTCGGTACTGGTCGGTCCGGTCTCACCTGTGCGATGCGAGCGTCCTCCTGCAGCTTGTTGAGGCGGGATTCGTTCCTGCTGATGAAGTCTTTCAGCGTTGCATTGTGGGAAACGCTGAACTCCCTCCAGGTGAGCTCCATGCCGCGCTGCAGCTCCTTCACGTCACACAGGACGTTCTCCAGGCTCACTGCAAAGACCGGACAGGTGAAGCCGGGTCAACCGGGTCAGCCGGGCTCTGCTGCGCTGTGATTGGCCGGTGGACTCACCTGCGGCGGCTTTGTCCACGTAGTGCAGCTCGTTGTAAAACAGCGTCACTCCGGGATATTTCTCTCGCACCACGTTGGAGATGTAGTGAAGCAGCGTTTGCTTCCGGTCCGTTGATTTGGTCTCCAGCAGCTGGAAGCAAACGGACCTGATATCTGCTGTCTGAACCGGGGTGCACTTACTTTCCCTCCACAGAGCATCGTAACCCGGCGCATTGGCAGGGAGGAGGAAGAGGACGAAATATCGGCCAAAATACAAGACATTTTCAGATGAATCTCATTGTTTTTCTAGAAAAATTTACACAAAGTTTTAGTTTCACAAAGTCTCAGAAATTTTCAAGGAAACATTTGGAAATGTCTGAGCTTGAAAAGTCAAAAATTTCCAAGAAAAAAGTTGAATTTCTTTTACTTTTGAAGGTCGAAAATTCCAAGATTAATCTCAAAATTCAAAAACTTCATTTTGGGATTTTTCTGAGTTTCTAGTCAACAGCAGCAGCAAGAGAAACTCCACTGCATATCAGGATCAGCAAGTTTTTGTCCTAAAATACAAACATTTCCAGCTAAATATGTCGAAGCTGTTCTACTCTTCCTGTAGTTTTTTGTTACCTCTGGTTGTTTTTCAGCAATATTTTTAGTTTTTTATCTGAGTTATTTGCTAAATTGGTTGCAATTGATGAATCGTTTGATGTTCCTGTGTGTGAGCGCCCCCTCCTTCCTGCCGCCCCGGGTGTCTGCCCCTGCGGTTGGACTGTTACCAGGTCCAGGCTCTGCAGCTTGAAGCCGTACACGGCTCCCCTCTTGCTGCTGTTCATGTAGTTCCCCAGAGCCAGGATGATCTGCAGGACAAACAGCAGAGCTCGTTACCTCAGGACGCCTCGGCCGAAAGCAAAACCGCACAGACCTCCAGGATCTTCTTCAGCTTCTGAGACGATTTGATGGAAACCGACGCGGCGATGATGGCGTGGAGTTGCTGAGAGGAAGCAGTCGGTCAGTTTGGGGTTTTCTCTGAACCTCTGCGGTGTTTCTTGGTTTGCTTACCGGCGTCAGCATCTGGATGTTGTCTGCGTAGTTTCCCATGAAGGTCATGATGGTCATGCGCTGGCTGAGCCGCTCGATGCGGCTGAACTGCATCATGAAGCGATCCTCGTCGCTCAGAGCCTCCAGCGGCTTCCTGTCCCTCTCGTACTGCCGCAGCAGCTTGACCTCGGCCTCCGTCGGGATGAAGCGCGTCAGACACTCGACGAAGTCCACAGGAACCGTCCGGAGGTCGAACCTGCACAGGAACACGGCCGTCGCTGCTGGTTCTACTTTAGAAATATTGGCAGGTAAATTTGAGAACACGTAAATCTGAGGCATAAAAAGGCTTTTGAGGATCATCATAGATAAAAAAGTCTTTTTGGCTAATCTCAGAAATTTTCTGGAAAAAACAGTAAATTTCCAAGTTCCAAAATCAAATATATGAAAAAAAATCTGAATTTTTCTCTCAGTATGAGATAAAAAACCCAAAAAGTGAAAAGATAAATAATTGTTCCAAAAGTCAAAAATGTTTGAGACAAAATTCTGAAATTTTGAGATTAATCGTAGAACTGTTCGAGAAAAATAGAAAATTTAACAGCTGTCAGAAAAAAAAAAAACATTTCCAGAAGAAAATTAGAAATTTCTGAATTTCATAAGTCGAAAATCTTAAAATGTCTGAGATTGATTTCAAAATTTAGATTTTCTCCTGCAAATTTTTGGGTTTTTGGAGCTCAGAAATTTCCTTGTTTTTCTAGAAAATTTCTTAAATTCATTTAGAAGTTTCTGAGTTTGTTTTATTTTCCTCGTTTCCTTTTTCTCTAAAATCGCCCCAACACGCCGTTGCTGCGCTCCTGCGGTCAGTAGGAGGCGCAGTAACGCCCCCTACTGAGCGCGCTCAGTGGAAGTGAACACAGGTGTCTTGTGATTTTAGAGCTGCTGTCCAAGCAGAAGCAGCAGATTGTCATCTTATTCCTCATCATCGTCGGCCATGTTTGTAGTTTTTCTGGTTTCTGTGTATCGATGCGACCCGGCCGTGCAGACCGGATCGGGTCGGAGCCAGAGCCCCGTGTCCGGTGTGGACCTACGTGTGGATGGCTCGGCAGATGACCTCTGAGGCCTGGCCGGCCTTCCTCAGGGTGATGGCCAGGTTCTTGGCCCGGTTGGCCTCCAGCAGCGACACCTTGGACGGGGCTTTCTGGGGCAGCTTCTGCCGGGTCAGCGTCAGGTCCACGGCCGGGCCCTGGGCCTTGGTCTTGAACAGCTCCTCAAAGCCCTCCATGTCCAGGTCCTGGTGGCACACGGGCAGCGGCGTCACGCAGCGGGTAGAGGGCGTCTGGTAGCCCGACCTCTGACCTCTGAAAGTTTACCTGCAGGATGGACTCGTCGTCGATGTCGTTGAAGACGGTTCCGTTGATCTGGCTGGGCTTCAGGGCGACCCAGTTCAGCACCGGCATCCGGAACTTGGTCTGGATCGGTTTCTTGATCTTCACGGCTGGAAGGGAAGTTCAGAGGTCAAATACGAAGATGTTTTCTGTTGCTTCGGCACTTCGTCTCTGAGTTCACTGATATTTCCACCAAAGTTTTCTCATCAGAGGAATTTATGGGTCTTATTTCCAAAAGCATTTCAACTTTTTCTCCCCAGAAAAAGAGAAAATTTCTGCCAATAAAGTTTAAAATGTAAATGTCTGAGTTCAAGAAGTTGAAAATTTGAGACGATAGTCTGAAATTGTTTCACATGGGTCCAACTCATCCCTCATATGTGTGACCTGAACCCAGAGGTCAGAGGTCAGGGCTCAGTAAAGCTGAGCTGTTTTATTACAGATGGATGGAAAATGGGAAACTGGAGACTGGAACCAGTTTGGTTTCCAGTCTCCAGCTGCAGGATGGATAGAGTTAAATGTATAAAAACGATAAAAACGTACAGAACAACTTGAGTGGACCCTCTGGCAGCAGAACGGAGGAGAAAACCCGTTAGTGTCAGAGGTCATCACTTTCTGTTACCATGGCGACGGGCCTGAGGCCACCGTCTCACCTGCGAGGCCAGAGTTAAAGATGACAGTCGCCGACCCCCCTGACCCCGGCAGGGGCGGGGCCACAGGAGGAGGGGGCGGGGCCATGGGGATGGAGGAAAGCTCGCTGGTCCTGCAGGGGGGGGGCGGAGGCGGAGGGGGCGGCGGGGCGGGAGGGGGCGGGGCCGGATACGGCCCGTTGGACACTGAGGACAGAAACAGAACAGCAGTCAGAAACGAGCGAGCAAATTTCAGCCACAAAACTCAAAACAAGCTCAGACATTTTGTACAAAACTTGGACTAATTGAAAACTTTTACATTTTGAGTCAAAAATTTTCCATAAATGAAATTTTTTTAAAACTCAGCAACATTTTCCTGAAAATTTGTGAGCTTGATCTCAAAGAATTACATCAATTTTGAGAATAAACAGGTAAAAAATTGACTTTTGCAAATTTCTGAGTTTAATGATTCAACATTTTCCAGGTTTTGTCAAGAAAATTTCTGAGACGAAGCTCAAAATGTAGAAAATGTTTTGACTTTGGAACGTTTTTCTGTTTCGATGTAAAACATTTTGAGTTTCTCACAAATTTGTGACTTTTGAAACATTTCTGACTTTGAAAAGTTTCAACTGCTTAAAGGTCAGAAGTTAAACATTTTGTTATAAAAAAATTGTGAGATTTCAAAATTTTACTTTGGAATTTTAAATTTGTGATAATCTGAATTATTGTCTTAGTTTTGTCTTAAAAATTTCTGATGTTAATCTAAAAATATCAGAATTCAAGTTTCTTTCTAATCAAAATTTCACCTTTGAAACTCAGAAATGTACAAAATTTTTCAAGAAAATTGTGAATGACTGATTGGTTTTATGTGTCGCTCACCTGAGCTCGGCATTGGCGGCGGTGGTGGAGGCGGAGGGGGCGGAGCCGGCATGCCTGGAGCCCCGCCCATCCCCGGTCCCATGCTGTGATAGGCCACCGTCTCCGGGCTGCAGGAGTCAGGAACCAATCAGGAATTGGTGGCCAAAAGCCATCATCCGGTGTCAGAGTGCGAGTCTTACCTGGGGACAGCGTGGGACACGGTGGCGGCGACGGGGAGGCGGAGTCGGCCACGCCCCCGTCGCCTTCGCCCCTCTGAGGCTGCGGCGCTCCGGGTCCGCCGGACTGCTGCGCCTCCTGCGCCTGGCGCTCCAGGCGACTCTGCCGCCGGATCGTCTGGTCTTTCTCCCGAACTATCCGCCTCAGGGTGTGAACCTGGGTGTTGGCGCTGGCGTACACCTCCTGCACATAGAAGGCTGCGGGTTCAAAGGTCGCGGTCGGACACCTCTTTTTATCCGACCAGCTGGAGTTCAGCACCGACCCGCAGCTGGTCCAGCTCTTTGTTGGTCTGCATCAGCTGCTTCTCCAGCTCCACGATCTTCAGCATGGCTTCGTTCTCCACGTCCAGCAGCCGCTCCGACATCTGGATGAGGAAACCAGATGTTGTCCCAGACTTTGTAAAGGACAGGGTCAGAGGTCAGCCTGATGCTGCTTACCGTAGCGAGGTTCTCCTCCAGTTCCTCCACTCTCTCCAGAGCAGCGGTTTTGGTCTCTGCGTCCTCCAGCAGCGTCCCGACGTCAAACACGTTGTCCAGGTAAGCCTGGATCTGGACCTGCAGCCGGTCGCTCTCCGTGTGCTTCAGCCTCTGAGGGGAACGGCGCCGTGACTCACCGGGCCCCGATTGGCCCGGGGCTCGTCACGTGACCCTGACGGGTTACCTCCAGGTGTTCCTCCAGGTTCAGCTTGGTGAAGTCGTACTGCAGGTGAACTCTGAAGTTCATGTCCTCCACGGAGTGAACCACGATGTTGATGAACTGCATGCAGGCCACCTGGGGACAAGCAGGTTGCCATGAAGACACGAGCTGTTTACATCCCACTGACATGACGCAGAGTGGGCAAAAAATTAAATAATTTCCTTACTAGCAAATAAACACCAAAAAAACGGAATTTTTTAAAAAAAATTTCTAAAAATGTTTGGGAAATTTCTGAGGACCAAATTTTGTAATTTCTAAAATTTTCCAAAATAATTTTGAGATTAATCTCAAACTTTCATGAGTTTCTAAATATAATTGACTATTTCCCCTTTATCTACAAAACCCCTAGTATAACACCTCAAGTAAAAACATTTCTGTGAAATTGAGGAAGTTATTTTGAATATTTGCCTAATATTAGCTTTTCTAATGTGATACTTATAGAATTGATGAAAACACAGATAATGTCACGCAGCAGCAGCAGCAGCAGTTACCAGGAAGTCGATGTTGTCGTCTTCGTTCTTGAAATGTTCCATCAGCTTCTCGAAACGCATCGACTCGTTACACACCTGCAACAGATGGTGAACAGGTCGGGGCGTCAGGCGCCATTAAGAAAAGAAAAGAAACCGAAGGAGGAGTTTAAAATGTTTATGGGTTTAAAATGTGGAATATTTTACATCTTTGAGACTCAAAAATTTCAAGGTTTCTCGAAGAAAATTTCAAATCCCAGTCCTTTCAAACTAAAAAAATTCTGATCTATTTCTAGAAATTTTCTGAGATTAATTTTTGTTTCTAGGAAAATCTTGACTTTCAAACTCTGAATATTCTGTTTTCTCCTCGAAGCTTTCTGTGGTCCATCTAATCATTTCTGATGTTTTGGTCTCAGGTCTAGTGGCAGTAACACGCCGTTGTGACTGGAGACTGTTTACGGTTTTGAAGTTGTCGAAGGCTGCCAGGATGATCTCATGTCCTCCTCGGACCAGGCACACGGCCGCCAGCAGCTCCAGAACCAGCGCTTTGGTCCTGGTGAAACAGCACAGTCCGTCACGCCGTCAGTCTGCTGTGCGGCAGCCATTCGTTCCAGTTTTTACTACCTGGGGTTCCTGTTGTTCAGACTCAGAGCGATCTCGTTGACGGCGTGCGGATGGGACATCACCATGTTGAAGCCGTACTGAGGAAGAGGAAGATGGGTCGGTGTGGCGTCGGGTCAGGAGGGTCTTAAAGCGATGGGAGGTTTTTCCTACCTGGTAGTTCATGATGGCTCTCAGACACATGATGCAGACGTGGACGTCGTCCTTCTTGCAGACGAGTCGTGAGTTCTTAAGGGTTCTGCGACTCGGCAGCGTGTTGGACCGGGTCACCAGGGTCGAGCTGTGGATGTGAAAATCTCAGATTTCCCGGTTTGGGCGGCCTGAGCTCTGGGTTTGGGTTTCTCTTTACCTGATGGAGTGTCGGGCCGAGCGGGAAATGGACGAGGACGGCGACGGGAGGCTGCAGTCGCCATGGAGATCCTCGATGGACCGACTCCAGGGCGAGTCGATGGAGCCCACCTCGCTCCCGGTGTCCGACTGCTCACCATCAAACCTGAGCAGATCAGAAAGGTCAAGGGTCATTCTTCAAAAACACCAAACCTTGAGATGGTAGGCAGAGATCTGACTCACGTGACGGCGTACTGAGCGAAGGACAGATACTCGACCAGAACATCCAGACCTCGATTCTCCTCATTCAGAAACTCTCTGACCCAGCTGGAGACAGAAAGACAAATAAATGGACAAAACGAAGAAACATGGACAGAGAGAGACATGTTGGAGACCAACTGAGTCCCATTAACCTTAAAACTTTTAACTCGAGAACGAGGTTATTTTATTTCACAAACTGCAATGGAAACACTTGAACCACATGATCAAGAACGGGATGTTTACTACTGCCGGAAATAACAAAGAAGACAACAGGAAGTGGTCAGAGTGCGATGGCGCCGCATGTTTTTGAATTGCGTTCTTTATTGACATTGGCAGAAAGTTTTGCACACGACAGAAAAGCGTCTGGAGACGGAGGAGCTGGACGGACAGCTACCCGATGTGGTTTGTACGCAGAGAAATCTCGAGCTCTCTGAGCGTTTGGGTCGATTCCTGAACTCTTCGTCTGAACTTCTGCGGACAGAAAAAGATTAACACATTTTCAAAAACTCAGTTTCCTCTTCAACAGGTTAGTAAACGTCTGACATGCAGAGAATCATTGGGCTTTGATTGAGTAAAATCTGTTCCTGTCGTTTCACCTTTCGCGTCACAGCCGGATCAAGGAAGCCTCTGAGTTTCTGGATGTAGGTATGGGGGGGGTTCTTCACCTGGAATCTCTCCTGACAACACAGAAATGCATCATGGGAATCCAAATATGATTCAACCAAATTGTTCCTGAGTTTTAACGTCAAAATGAGAAAATACTAAGCTAGATTAGCTGGAGTAGCGTTGGGTAATGCAATGAGACCTGCAGGACCTACCTGATCGCAGATCAGCTCCCACTTCTTCTCGTTGTCATAGGAACGCAGCAGACGCACCTTGTCTGGAGGAAGGTTCATCGAATTCTGAAAGACAGAGTCTACTTTAGGCCATGAAACCTCGTCTCCTTTGAGAGGAAGACTCAGTTTTCTGATTCCTGTTTGACTCCACAGCTTGGGCCACGAGCTGAGCTAATTCTGCCATTATCTCTGTGAACTTTGACCCTCGGGTGACCGGTGATTTCCCCTGGTAGCTTGCTGCTTTGACTTGTTCTGACCGGATGTTGTTTCCCCTTCAGGGAATCGTTCCTTCCCTCTGTCACCACGTGCTTGTTTGGGCGGACGGCTCTTCCGTTGTAATCTGAGTCTGTTTAGTATTTATATCTGATGTGATATTGATCCGATAACATGATCGGGTCGTGGATCTGAGCGTGAATTAGCTGCGTCTAGCTGCCGTCTCATCAGACTGTGATGTTTGCCGCCTAATTAGCAGAGTGTCATGCATGCATGGCGGATCAGAACCTGCAGGTCGTTCCACTCACCAACGCGATGGAGAACCGCTCCTCCAGCTCCGCCGGGTCGGGCATCGGCAGTCGGACCGGGGCGGCTCTGGACCGGATCACGGCCAGCTGGCTCTCCATGCTCTCTGTGTTCCCCATAACACACACACACACACACTCTCACACACACCGAGGCAGAGGAGCGACCACAGCGGACGCAGCGAACACACCCACCCGGACCGCCGCGCTCACACACACAGCAGCAGGAACATGTGGTCGGCCATGACGGACGGAGGCGGCTGGAGGCCGGGATGCTCTTCCTGTCCTCGAACGATGAAGATCCCCTCCTCCTCTTCCTCCTCCTGTCTGCCTCTTTGTCTCCTGCAGGCAGCAATGCTGCTGATGCTGCTGATGCTGATCCAGATGAAGCCCGGCTCTGCAGCCGTGTTGTTGTGTGTTTGGATGAAGCGCGCGTGTGTGTGTGTGTGTCGCAGTTGAGCCGGTTAATCCTCCCCCTCTCCTCCCCCACACCAAGAAAGAAAGACTCGGCCTCCCCCTCTTTGTCTCTCTCTCCCCCGGAGCCGCCGTCCGTGTGGAGCTCGCTCGACCCTCCCTGCTCAGACAATGAACCTTCTGCCGCCCAGGCCCCGCCCCTTTGGCCTCGCTGGGGGGAGGTGGATAATCTGACTCTGGATCAGCTGCTGCAGCTTTCATTCATCACATCCACCAGGCCGCCTGCTCAAAGGGGCAGAACCGGGTCGGTTCTGATCTCATTAACTCATCTGGAGGTTCCGATGGGCCGGGCCGCATTTTTACTGCAGATTAAACTGAAATTCATGTTAAATTTAATCTCATCTTCAGAATAAAACCTGAGAAACAAACCGATTCAAAAAAATGAAAGAGTTTTGATGGAAGAAACTGCTGATGTTCTGTGTAACAGCGCCCTCTGCTGGAAACTCGCTGAACTAACAAAACAACTGGACGCACCGTCCACTTTATTAGGTACACCGGTTAACAACTGAATATTCAGCTCAATTTACATATAAGCTTAAAAAAGCAAAACATAACCTTAGTTACCATGTAAAAAATAGATGCTAAATATCAAAGTAGCAAACATGTAGTTTAGAAACTAAATACTTAGCTTTTACCTAGCTAAGCATTTAGTTAGAAAGTTAAATATTACATTTTTTAATCTACTTATTTAGCTTGCAGGCTAAATTTTTTGCTTAGACACAAAATATTTATCTTCATACATATTTATTTTGATTGTTAGCTGGAAGCTAGCTAAACATTTATTTAGGAAGTAATTTTTTATTATTTTAAAACTAAATGTTTATCCAAGCTACACAGCTAAATATTAAGTTTTTAAATTGGATATTTATCTCACTTAGAGCTAAATATTTAGTTTAAAAACTTTACATTTTTGATTTAGATTTCAGCAGCAACATCTTGGATCTTAATGAAACAAAACAGAAGTTTGGATTCTGATGGTTCTGGAAGTTTCCATCACTTTATTTCTGGTTCTGGTCCAGAGCCTAAGCCTGCAGTGTTCTGGTTGAGCAGAGGGCGCTGCAGCAGCACCCAGCAGGACTCTGCGCCTCCTGGATGCTGCGGCTCTGCGGCGGCTCTCTGCGGCGTCGCCATGGGAACGCTGCTGTCTCTGCCTCCCGGCTGCCGATCCGCTGCGGCGGCGGCTTTGAAGGAGCCGCCGGAGGTTCCTGATGATGAGGAGGAGAAGAAGACACGCTCTGTGCTGCTGCAGGCGCTGCGCTGCAGGAAGCGGCTGGCGGCGTTGGGCTCCAGGGGGAAGTCGGCCCCTAAGGGCCCCAAGGTCAGAGCGCGGCCCTGGCAGGAGGAGCAGATGTGCATCAGGAGGCTGGTGGTTCAGGTCGGTACCGGCTCAGGTCAGTCGGGAACCAGAACCTCGTCCCGTCTGATAAAGTCTTCTTCTTCTTCTGTCTGAATCCTGCAGGCCTCCACAGGCGAGCTTCTCCGCTGTCTGTCCGACTTCCTGCGCCGGCGCTGCGTCAAGCTGAAGGAGTTTCCGTCCAATCGGATCGTCGTCTGGCTGAGGAACGTGGAGCGAGCGCTGCTGCTGCAGGGCTGGCAGGTCAGGGTTCTGGTTCTGGTTCTGGACTGTCTGTTGTTGGTCGGACCTTTGGGTCCAATCTACCGTGTTCTCCAAGTTTCTGAGATCCAAAAGTCCAAAATTCCAACCCCAAAATTTTTACCTTTTGAGATAAATCTCAGAAATTTTCTAGAAAATTTTTTAAAAATTCTGAACTCCAAAAGGTGAAAGCTTTCAAGTTAAAGAAAACGTTAAAGTTTTTCTTCCAAAATTTCAGAGATTTGTGGTGGAAATTTACTCCTTTTTCTATCTACAGTGGCATTTATAGGCTGTTGTACGTTTAGCCGTTTGCAGCATTTCTTACTGTTTGCTGCAAGTTGACCTTTGCTCTCTGTCTCTGTAGCATCGGGGCTTCCTCAGCCCGGCCAGCCTCGTCTTCGTCTACCTGCTCTGCAGAGACGCGGTGGACGAGGACACGGCCTCGGAGCAGGAGCTCCACGCCACCTTCCTCACCTGTCTCTACCTGGCCTACTGTTACCTGGGCAACGAGATCTCTTACCCCATGAAGCCGTTCCTGGTGGAGTCCAGCCGCGACGTCTTCTGGGAGCGAGCGCTGGAGGTCATTGAGCATCTGAGCGCCGACATGCTGCGCCTCAACACCGAACCGCGATTCTTCACCGAGGTTTTCCAGGACCTGAAGAGACACAGCGCCGGCGGCGGCGGCAGCAGCAGCGGCGGCGGGAGCGGCAGCAGCAGTGGGAACAGCAGCAGTGGGGACGGCGGCAGTGGGGACGGCGGCAGCAGGACCCATAGGACAGAGAACCGAAGGATGGACGACCTGGACTGAAAGACCCGCATGGGCTGATGCAGCTTCCTATTAAGGCTCTCTTGGCAACTATATCGGTACCGAACTCTCAGGACTGGTTTTGATTCACCAGAACCTCCTCAGGTACGAATAGGTCCAGAGAAGGCCTGGACGGATCTGTCTCTGGGCTTCAGAACCGGACAGCAGGACACACCTCATCCCCAGTAGAACCACTAGATCCAGTTCGACTGATGATCAAAATGCAACATTTGCTACATTTTCAGCTAGTTTGGTTCTTTCAAACTGAACTGGGTCAAACAATCCAAACTAGCTGAAAACCTGTTCCCCTCCTGGCCTGTGGGGGCGCTGCACCAGGAACCCAACGGAAAGATGTCAGATTTGATCTGCTTGGTGTTCACATTCATCCAAAGGATTGATAAATATTCTTACTTCCCCAAACGAACCGGACTTTGACTAGGCCAACAGACTGGATTCGGATTAAACAGGATTAAACAGGGATGGTGTGAATTCAGCACAAAATTACAATGGATTACAACAAATGCCAAAATATGAAGAACAAACTAATTATTTACCCAAACAAACACAGATCTGTGAAAACTATGCAGTAGACTGACTTATTTTTGTAGCCTGATTAGCTTAGCGTAGCTTAACTGTATACAACTCAACTTTTATCACCACTATGCTAACTGACTTATTGAGTGAAAATGATTGAAACATTATATACAGTTTAATTAAACAACCGTTTAAATACCTTTTTTCTCATCTATTGAGTTTTTATTATTATTATTAACCATTATTTACATCAACCCACCAAATGGTATTAAAGACATGAAATACCTGAGCTGTAATCTCATGTATTTTGCATGTAAATGTTCATTAATATATGTTCCATTTTATAAAAAAAAACTTGAAACAATCAACTAAAATAGATATGAATGGCGGTTTTTAAACTAAAGGGGGATTTCTGCAGTGTGGAGAAAATGCTAATCTCCTTCCACGCTCTTTATACTTTAAATTAAGGCTTTTTTTAACATTTCTAACTAAAATAATTTAAATAATTATTTGTAAGTGGTTGTTTTTTACCTCGAGGCCTGTATATTTGTTTTATTATTCTCTAACTACATCTAATTTTAAACAAGTTAGCAAGATTAGCAGCAGCATTGTAGCTTAAATGTTCGGGCGTTGAACTGAGCCGTAGCTAACAAGCTAATTTTCTATTAGCATCTCCGCAAATCTTTTTGATAAACATTAAATTATCGAGACACGTTACAACATACCTTTATCTTGCCTTTTTCTATTCTTCCTCTTTCTTTCCTTTCTCCTGAAGGATTTAGTCCTTTTGAGACATCGTTTACATTGCTATGCTAACGTATCTTCCACCAGCTCATATTACCGCAGAAGCCTGACCTAACGCGGCCGCCAGGGGGAACCCAAGAGCTATTTAGTTTTCCTTTTTGCCCATATGAAGAATAATTTATGAATACATTATCAAAAGTATATATTATTGTAAAGAATAATCCACTTAAGGGGGGCATCTACTGGCCCGGGGCCCTGACCAACAGCTTAATAAAAACGACGCAGCGTCGCTAAGGCTGTAGCTCCCATTTTGACCACCAGAGGGCGGAAAAACCCCGATCTGAATATAGAGATGAGTTTCAGAGCTGCAGCTGGTTTCTGATTTATTCATGTTTTTAAAAGTAACTATAATTGATCATGAGAGTAAAATGTAAATGTTTTGCATAGGAACGAGTACCGGAGCAAATGACAAAAGTTAATAAAAACAACAAAGAGAAAAATGATTGTTTTCAGTACCATGTATTCCTTAAAATAAGTGAACACCATAAAAAAAAACAGAATATATACACAACACTGAAGTTACCTTTCAGTAATAATGTGCATAAGGTTTCCAAATGACAGTCACAAATTTTCCAATTAAACCGTCAGTTTCCACTTCGTTGAAAGTGGAAACTGACAGGACTAGTAAAATATCCTGCTAGTTAACCAGACATTTTTAAACGGCCACCAGTAAAAGTGCCATATTAATATTACACAGCAAGCATTTAATTTACCAAGTTAAACTCAACATAGAAGGTAAAAAAAGTTTGTTTTGCCAGCTAACCAATTAGAATAAGCTACAAACAAACATTTTATTCACAACTCAGCAATTCCATTTACAATTCAGGTAATGACAAACCAGACCCACTGGGATCAGATATGAATCATATTTGTATCGTGAGCCTTAAAGTGCAGATAGAACATAAAAAGGATAAAACAGGAAGTAGTTTGAAAGTACAAACCTGTTACAGCTCCGGCTGAATGAATCACATGATTCTGTCAAATTAGACATAATGGTGATGCATTTAGAGGAAACGGCCTAATTAAAGGCTGATTTTACCGAGTTACACTTGGAAAGTGAAGATGATGGAAACCAGGTTCAGAGATGTTGAATTGAACAGATAAATTTTCTACAAGAAACATTTGAAGAATAAAAGATTTCAATCTTAAGCAAGAAGGTTGTTGGTTCAAATCCTTGTGAATTTTAGAAAGTGATTTTGTTTTTTCAGCTTTTCTCTAAGTGAAAAAATGATGCCACTTCCTCTGCAGTGACATCGCTCCTCTGAAAGAGGAAGTGACGTCACAGTTTCCACAGCAGGTCACGTCAGAGCGTCGAATAAAGAGTCGTTTGACTCAGCAGACATGAGCGGAGTCATATCGATGGAGTCGCTTTGGTCCCTGACTCCAGGATCTTCATCCTGAACCCGGGCTCCTCCTGCAGAGACGACGGAGAACGATCAGAAGAAAAAAAAACCGAACTGCAATAAAACATTCACATTCTGAGAACTTTGACTAGACGATCGGTCATAAACCTGGGATTAGCGAAACATTTACTCCATTTTTCTGATTTTGTAAAAAAACAGCAACAAGGCAAAAGAAGCTTCTGACTAACCTTTGAATTTGAGCAGAACCGTGGTCCACGCCACCAGTTTCGTTCTCCTCCAGACGCCACACCTGTAGCTCTCAGCGGCGTCGGCTGCAGGTCGGCTCAGGGTCAGGCTGATGTCTCCTGTTTGTAGCAGGTCTTCATTCATCTTGGTTCTGGTTCTGTAGTGATGGTCCTGCTCTTGCAGCTGATCAGAAAGGTATCTATAAGCATGAACGATCACCACCGGTTGCGGGTCGTAGCGCCACCACACAACTCTGGCGCCTTTAAGGAGTTCAGGCGCCACTTTGAACGGCAGCAGGACTGACTCCGCCCTTCCTCCACCTCCACCTGACAGTCTGAGAGAACAAAGACCAACAAAGATCAGCTGCTCACTGGTGTCTGTGTACATAAAACTGTCACTGATGAGATTTCCTCTTTTACATTAAATAAATACACCTGATCTGATTTTGGGGGCTCGTCCGGGATAAACAATCAGAGAAATCTAACATTATAATTCTTCCTGTTCATTAATATTTGTTGTGCTATTTAACATTAAACAAAAATGAAACTTATAAAGCTTTTGATCAAAAGCAGTAAAGCAGGCATGTCCAAAGTCCAGCCACTGACCTTCGACCTTGAGCTGAACTTGCTTCTTGTACAGGATGGTTCCCTCCTGGCTGAAGATGCTGCAGGTGTAGATGTTGCTGTCTTCGTAGGTGAGGTGTTTCAGAGTCAGAGTGAGGTCTCCAGTTTGTGTCCAGTCTTTGTTCGTCTCGGTTCTGTTTCTGTAGAACCGGTCCTGGTTCTCCGGACGGTCAGAACCGTCCAGAAACACGTGCACCATCTGGTTTTCACTGTCCTTCCACTCAACTTTACAAGACTTGAACAGCTCGGCTGAGGTGTGGCAGGGTAGCAGGACTTTGTCTGCACCTGCACTCACCTCCACCTGTTGGACTGAGAACAGCAAAGGAAGATTACCCAGAATGCTTCAGGAAAGTCAGAGTTAGATTGAGAGGATGTAAATCTCCAGTGTTAGCTTTTTAAATGTCGTTGAACCTCCTTGTCGCTGAAATGTTCTGCAGTGAAAAACCTGACTGAGAATGAAGATGAGTTCAGTTGGGAGCTTCACACGCCTGAACGTGCCGAGGAATTCCACATGTGAAATATGTCTCCACATGTGCAGAAGACTGTTTCTATAGTTACAGCTATGTGTTTGGGGAAAGCTCCAGGTGGTTTGAAGATCAGCAATATGAACTCTAACACAGCAAAAACACAAAATGACCGGATCTACAGAAACAGAACCGAGACGAACAAAGACTGGACACAAACTGGAGATCTCACTCTGACGCTTTCTAATGAAAACATATTAATACACTTAAAATACGACAAAATTAATTTACAAAATTAATACATGGCTCCGGTATTTTTTGGAAAAATACAGGAACTTGTTTAAGCCAATAACTCTTTAATATTGAAGAAAAATGATAACTTTTATATTGGAAATGATTGATTATAAGTGAAACAATCTGCCAATGGAATTAGAAGTTTTCCTCCATATTAATGAATTATTTACTAAATCAAACTCCCATGTTTTGCTGAAATGTTATTTGTAAGTTAGTTTCATCCATATCCAGCATGATATTTCATTTAGAAACTAGATTTGCTAAGATTTAGATTCAGCTGTTTTATGGTAATATTGAGTTTTACTACAGGCGTCTGAATGTTATTAAAACTATAAACATTTCATTTACGGTAGAAATATGGGCGATAAAACTGAAACAACCAAAGACTAGATTGGAGGACGGACAGTGTTGCTGTGGTAACTGCTGCAGCATAATGTCACAGAGCAGCACTGACAACAAACAACGTGGTTCAGGTGAAACTCAGCCCATCAGCTGACCTTTGACCTGCAGCTGAACCTGCGTCTTCATCAGGATGCGTTTGCTGCGGCTGTAGACGCAGCAGGTGAAGGTGTCCGTGTCTGCGCCTGTGGGAACCTCAGTGTCAGGCTCAGGTCTCCCGTCTGCAGCGGGTCCTCGCTCATCTCCGTCCTGGTTCTGTAGAACTGGATCTGTTTTCGGGGACGCTGTCGTGGTTCTGGTAGACGTGGACCTTGTTGCCGTAGCGGTCCGTCCATTCCACCGTGGCGTCGCTCGGCAGGCGACCGTTGGTCCTGCAGGGCAGCAGGACGAACGGCTGACCGGAGTCGGCCTCGATGTTTCTGTTGTAACCTGAGAGGAGAAGTCCAGCTTCAGAGGAGCCAAACCTGCGGCGCCGGGGCCTTTAGTGGCCCGTGAAACGATTCAAGTCAAGATTGGTCAAATTGTGACAACAAAACAAAAAACACCAAAATTTAAATAAAATAAACATTTAATTGGCCAGCAAAGTATTTTATAAAACCAACATTCAGCCACCAATTCAGACACATGCAACAAATATAATGAAAATAATCAGTAAACATTAATTGTTTTGTTTAATGTTTAACCACATCATCTCCACTCAGCTGCTTTTCCGTGGCGATTTAAAGGAACATTTCCAGACCCTGAACTCGCGGTGGACGTTTGTTTTGGTGTCTCTTACTCACCTCTCATGAAGTTGTGCCTGAAACAGAAAACGGCTCCAGTGACCAGAACCAGAACCACCAGAGGGACCAGCAGAACTCTGGCCCACGTTGGAAACGATTCTGTGGAGAAAAATGAGCAACATCTTCATCTGTGACCCGTCAGCTGCTGCAGCAGCAGGTTAGCTCCTGACCTTGACCTGAGGCGCTTGCTTTGTGGAGGCCCTGGGGTCAGAGGTCACGGTCAGGGTCAGGTTTCCCGTCTGCGGAGCGACGGTTGTGGTTCTGTTGAGCGGGTTCTGATCCGTCAGCTCATCTCCACGTGTCGTGTTAGCGGTGGGCAGGCTGAGGTCGGATCGGGTCCAGACCTCCGTAGAACCGTTCAGAACCAACATCTGGACCGCAGGGACCAGCAGGGACACTGAGGACAGAGACGACTGTCATGGCAACGGGCTTATGAAGCAGCAACAATGATGATGATGATGATGATGATGTCACAAAACAACAAAAACAAGATAAATCTGACTTTAAAGCTTTTATGGAAAATATTTATGTATATATTTATTAAAACTGTTTCCATGATGAGACGGAAAAACTGAAAAATAAAATCAATGGAGATCCTCTGGTTCCAGACTGAGCTTCAGGTTGATCAATAAACTTTCATAAAACAGGAAGTAGATCCCAGAATGGATCCCTGAGGCTCACCGCAGCCCACAGGTTATGAAAATGATTTTAGATCCTGAACTCAGCCTGTTGGGATTTACATCAGCTGACCAATAAACAGACAGGACACAGGCAGGGGGCGGGGCTTAATTAGTCTTCAGAGCTTTAACCCACAAAGAGAAGAAAACATCCAATCAGTCTCACTGATAAACTTCAGCTCCAGCAGAACCGAACCCAGCAGAACCGGACCCAGCAGACCCAGACCCAGCAGAACCGGACCCAGCAGAACCGAACCAGCAGAACCGGACCCAGCAGAACCGGACCCAGCAGAACTGAACCCAGCAGAACCAGACCCAGCAGAACCAAACCCAGCAGACCCAGACCCAGCAGAACCGAACCCAGCAGAACCGAACCCAGCAGAACCGGATCTTACCGTGCAGGAGGATCCAGAACATCTTCTTCTTCATGTCAGAACGAAGGGATCAGAAACCCTCTGGACTCATTCTGGTGAAACTCTCTGCTGCTCGGCGGATCCACATGAACCGGTTCTGTTGGATCCAGAGACGAAAATGTTGAGCAGAACCAGTCTGTCCGGGTTCAGTCTGCGCTCTGATTGGATACAGGTTGATTTTAGGTCAAAGCTGCTTCCTGCTGAAACAAGAGGAAGAAAAGCTGCTTTAAAACGAACAAATGCTGAGAATCTGATTTATTTCTTAAGATGTTTGTTGTTTTCATCTCTTCAATAATATGTTAGATTGACAATATTTTAATAAATTAGAGTCATTTTAGTTTAAAAAAAGTCTGTCAATCTTGTTGATGCAAAATATAAACAGTTGCTGCATTAATTAAATCCTTCCACAGGTTTTAGTGGTTATTATTATTATTTTAACTTTAACAGTGTAATCAATGATAAATACCTTTTTCTATATAAATGTGTAAATGTCATATTTCTCTCTGTAAAACCGTGGAACTGCTTGATTTTACATTAAGTTAAGAAAATGATGGATTTTACAACCAATCTGAGTTTTAAGTCAGAGGCTTTTTCACATCTCTGTAACACAGACTGCTGCAGGAAATCCTTCCTCCCATCAGCCTCCTCAACTATTTTTCCAACAAAAGATTTAAAGTATTTTTTTATGTTTGTTTTTTACTTCTGGAAGCTGAAACTCAACCAGTGACCTTGACCCTCGACTGAAAGGTCAGGGATTTAATTGCCCTTTCAGAGATTTATTAAATCAAACTCAACTTTAATCAGCGAATCAGATTCTGGTGATTTATTAATAAAAACTAATCAGAATATAATTATTCCTGAGCTGCAAAGTCCAACGTGACTCAAACGCATCATTCTGATGTCCTCGTTCAGTCTTTCTTCCTCGTGGAGTTTTGTTTAAAAACTGACAGCAGGAGCCGAACTGAACTGCTCCGCATCGCCCCCTGCTGGACACATATCGGAACTGCATCAGCTGATCTTGTGAGAGAAAATAAATGCTCATATTCATAAACCGTCTCAAAACCAAAGAGTCGTCTATAAGTGTGCTTACAGAAGCGAAATACTGAGGCTGAGAGTGAATTATGGGATGGAAAAACACAAGAATAAATACCTGACAGCACCTGAACGCAGCTAAAGGGTTAGAGTTAGGGTTCGGGAAAATCCTCAGGAATCCTTCAGGAACCGCTGATCCAGAAGCCGCGAGCTTGACCCGCTACAGACGAGTCGGAACCACAGGAAGAGGAAGCAGCTGCAGCATTATAACCAGCGAATCATTAACAGAACCGACCTGATGCAGGAACTGGGCCAAACTCTGCAAGGAATCAACCAGGAAGTTGATGACTCAGCAGAAAACGATGCAAAAATCAAACAGAAACATCAAGATTTCCTGATCAGGACATTTTCACAGTTTTCCATGGAAATGGAAAAAAATCCCATCATCTGAAAAATATGAGTTTTAATTTCACCTGATATATTAATGAATTTCTGCTTGTGTGTTTATGTTTTTAACATTATTTATGAATTTTATTTACGTTGTTTTTGTGTTTTGATTCCGTCAACATGTCTGTTATTCAACACGAAATTTTCCTTTGACAGGTTTGAGTTTCATACTTTAAATTCAGATGAAATCAGATTAAGATTCATTGTGTTTCTAATTCAATCAAATGTCCCTAAAGAGGGAAAGTGAACAGTTCACCAGAACAAAGTCCAAACCAGAATCTTACCTCATACAACATAACACCACATTAACACCATCTCTGTATATTAGTCATGACCTGTTGAATTATAATGAACCCAGAGTGAAGCACGTCATCAGCGGTCATGTGACTTCAGAGCAGTTGAAACTGAACATTTAGAGAGGAAATGGAATGACTTAAACAGGATCGTTTCTTTAAATAGGCCATTTTCCTCCATTTATTCTAAATGGAGTCTGACTTCTCCTGACTTTTTCTTTGTTTCCTGAACGCATCTGGGATTTATTTTCACTTTCTTCTTTGATAGAAGCAGTCCGGACTGCGGCTCGATCTGTGGTAAGAAACTCCACATTTATCACCTTTTGACGTTCAGGTTGTTTTAATTACGATTATTTCAGGCAGCTAAATTATCCATTATTTCCTCTCCTTACCCCATAACCTTGGGGAATAAAGAACAACTGTTTCCAAATTCTCAAAAATCTTTACATGTACACTTCGTGTTGGGACTGACTTTTATTTCTGCCAGGCTTACGTGAGAAAAGTTTCTCTTGGCCTTTGAAATAAAACGGCGCCAGAAGACCTCGTTTATTTATTTATTTTACAATTTCTTAAACAACAGCTGCCAATTACACTGAATGTTACAATCTTGAAATGATTATATGAGTTATTTTACCGATAAATCGATCAGAATCGATCGTGAAAATGATCAGATCCTCATTCGCCTCTCTGGCTGTAATGCGCGCTCCCGACACAGGAGGGCAGATTTTCACAGGGGAACCGAATTTCACGCCAGACCTCTTCCGGATGAAAACCTGTGCAGATCACAGGTTTTCTGTGATTTGAGCATCTGATCAATATTCATATTGAATACTAACAATGTTGATTTCATAGAGAATGTCCCTGGACTGACTCCAAACTATAACTTCTCTGAAAAATGTATTTTCAGAGATACTTTGAAAATAATTTATATTTTCTCCCCATTGAATGAAAAACAAACATGTTTGAACCAAAATTCAGCAGACAGAGAAACTCCTGCAGTTTCTGTTAAAGTTTCATTATTTTCAATGAAATCTGGAAACATTTGATTTTTCCTGATTTTGTTATTGTTATTTACATGCATTATTATCATTTTGTCCTTCAAACACCATTTTCTCTTTACATTGTATTTCTGTGCATCTAAAGATGTAACTTTCAATATTAAATGATTGATAATTTGATCAGTCAGTACTTGTACAACGTTTGACTTTAATGAACAGAAATCATAAAATAATCAGGGATTAAACAATCTAATCATTCTTCATGTTCCACCTTGAAGGAGGGACAGACGGTAAAGGATCTTACTGGGATCATAGTTTCCATAACTTTTAACATGCATATAAATCTGAAAAGTGTGGCATGCTTTTCTACTCAGTCTGGTTTCAGGTCTTTTGGATTTTGTCAGAGAAAAGCAGTTTTAATTTTTGCTTCAGACTCTCGGCTCTGATAATCCACCTTCAGATGAGATTTGGTTCATTTATGGTTTTATTTTAGTTCTGAATGAATAATTGTCATGTTTTTACTCTGGAACTGTTTGATTAACAGGTCATGTGGACGAGAGTCTCCAATGATTCCTGAAAACAAAAAGTTATCAATTATTTTCCACTACATAATTCATTATGTAGTGGACAATGATTCATTAAACAAATCATTTACAGCAAAAATCATTTCAACATTTGATTCTAACTCGATTTAGAATATATTTCAATAAAACATAAATATAAAATAATGAAGTGAAGTCAACATATCAAACCATTTTGTGTTTCAGTTTGAGGTGAGTGGAGCGAGCGCCACCTAGTGGCAGGATGGATCCGTGTGAGGACAGACAGGACGGAGTCCTTCACTCTAAAATGTCTCGTTTTGGGGAACATGCAGACCAGAGGTGAGGTCATGACCTTTACCTGTTCAGGAAAGGTCAAAGTTCAGCAGTGGAATCATCAAACCATCTCCATTCACAGGAAGCTATCAGAACCAGAACCAGAACCTGGACCCAGCTGTGTGTCATGGAAGAGCAACCATTCAAAGGACATTATCTTCCATTTTAAACCAGACCGGCCTCCAGCAGCAAAGAGGTGAGCCGGGTCAAAGGTCTCTGCTCAATGCTAACATGATCAGAAAATACACCAAACCGTTTCTAATTCTGCTCACATCTGATTTTCTGATCAACCAGAGGTTTTGTTTTTGAAAAGTCATCACAATTGAAGGTTTTCAGGGACTTTCTGGGTCTTTAGCAACGTTTTTTTAAATTTATCTAGAGAAATGCCAGTACAATGTTGAGAATCTGCAAGGCAGATAAACTTTATTTTAACTGTTCCAAGATTAAAACGGTTGATTTCTGTTGGTGTCATTATTTGTGCGTGAAGAAGGTGGATGTTTTATTCTGTTCTGGATATTTGAACCTCAACAAAACAGACTTTTGCCGCTGTGTTTCTTTCAGCGCTTCAGTCCCAATCAGATCCTAAAATATCTCAGGGTTTCTTATTTAGACGTCAGTGTTCCTAAGTTAAACCCTGATGGAACCTGTGCTGCTGCTTTGAAGCTTTAGAAAACTAAAAAGCAGCTTTTTTCAGTCTGGATCTTTGTGTGTTTTGTCAGGAAGAGGCTGGAAAATGACAACCAGCTTGAATCTGAACTAGAACATCTGTCCTCTGAAAACCAAAGGTAAGACGATTATTGATGCCAAAATGATAGGAATTTTATCTATGCATCAGTTTTCAGATCAGAGTTGTTTCCACAAACTTGCACTAAAATCCATTCAACTTAACCTTCAGTAGATAAAGTTCGTTGACCTTTTCTCACGACTTCCTTCTGTCATCATTAGTTTTCTTCAGTCCTGAGAGCAGCGCACCGGCGATGAAAGTACATTTGAGTGTTTATGATACTGAAATTCATTGGGAACCATTAGCTTCAGGTGAAGATATGCAGGAGACTGAGCTTCAGTGTAGGAAGCATGAAGATGTAGATATCAAGCTAATTCTTACTGAGATCTGCAGAAAAGCATCATCTCCGTTTCTCTCTGTGGACAGACAGAATATGGTGAATTTGTCCTGGTTCCTCCACAGAGTGGACCAGCAGAGCTCAGAGGTTCCCACTGATCCGTCTGTCCAGCAGCATCAAACACAGCTGGACTCCATATTTATGGTCAGTACCGGTTCTGCTCAGTCAGCGTCATGCTGTCTTTTAGACCATCTGTCCAACATAAATCTGATGTTTTCTTTAATTTTTCTATTGTTCCAGCTGCTGGAGGAAAACATTGTTACTTACGTGAAGAACGAGCTGAAGAGGATCCAGAAGGATCTGAGTCCAGGTGATCCGGTATGCTCAGAGGGTCCGAGTGAGGAGGAGGAGGAAATGGGGGGGGGATGAAGAGCAGAGGAGGAGCAGCAGGGAGGCGATGATGAAGATCATCCTGAACTTCCTGAGGAAGATGCAGCAGGAGGAGCTGGCTGCCCATCTGCAGAGCAGTAAGAGGATTTCTAAAACAATTCTGCTGTTATGTTGAATAGTTCAAACATGATTCCATGTGAAAATGCATTCATGCATTTATTTAAAAAATGTATAAATCCATATTATAGATAAGCAGCAACAAATTGAAATCAAATAGAAATCAACAAATACAGAAAATCTAAATCAAACAGTGCAGCAAACAGTCATTATGGATTCAGCAGCTTTTTCTTGATTTAAACTGGTATCCAGTGTGCTGCTCATGAAATATAAACTTTGGGAACTATATATTTTCAGTAAAATACTGTGAAAAACAGACAATGCACAAGATAAAGAGCCATTTTAGTATTAATTCTTGAACACAGTCCATAACGTTAAACGTAACATTCAGCTACAGATGAAGAACCTTCACATACATACATAGCTACCAAATTCAAACCGTGATGCAGTGGAGTCAACACTGACTGCCAATAAATGGTTCAACTGCTGCTGATCTGCCATGACATGATCTCCAGCTGTGCACCGTCAACCCATCTCCTTGTTTCACTCAGCTGCAGGCATTTGATGCAGATCATGTTTAAAAAAGTCCTTGGCAAGAAGATTTTTCTGTCCCTAAACAACCAACAGTCCCAGTGTCTTCTGAAGACGTCTGCTTAAGGCAGAACCTGGACAGAGTACACAGGATGGTGGACTGAATAGTTCCCAATGCTGCATAATATTGGTTCCCAGGTCACTGTTTTTATTGATCACTGTCCCCAGCCTGTCCAGGCCTTTCAATGTGTTGTCTCCATTCAGGGACTCATGCTGGAAATTGTCAACAGAAACTCAAGTCAAACCTGAAATCAAAGTTCCAGTGTGTGTTTGAGGGAATCACTAAAGCAGGAAACCCGGCTCTCCTGAACCAGATCTACACTGAGCTCTACATCACAGAGGGAGGAACTGGAGAGGTCAACCAGGAGCTGTCAGGGTCTGTGTTTTTGTTTCTTTTAGTTTTTCCTTTTTTTTTTCTGTTGTGTCTCCCTGGAGCACCTGCTGCTTCTCATGGCATCCACCAGGTGCCGCTAGGATGCAGAGCCCCTGGAGTTGTGCCATGTCAACCCCGTCGACACACCTGCAGCTTGTTCGGAGGGCTCAGCCTGG